GGGAAGGGGCTGGAGGGGCAGGGATAGAGCGGGAGGGCTGGGCTGTAGGGCTGGTCTCTAGGGCTGGTCTCTAGGGCTGGTGCGGGAGGGCTGTGCGGGCAGGACGGGGCAGGAGCGGTCCCGCAGGGCCGGGCCGTGGCCGCCGGGAGCCACCCCCGTGGGCGGGCGCGGAGGAGGCAGCAGGAAGCGGCAGGTGAGGGCGGGACCGGGACCTCACCGGGACCCGACGGGACCCCCCCCCTCGGTGCCACCGGGGGCCACCGGTGTCTTGGCTGCCCCCGCTGCTCTCTGTCCCCGCAGGGCCGCCATGGAGGGGTCTCCGCCGCCCGCCAGCCCCCCCGGGCTCTCGGCCTACGTGGCCGTGTCGCAGCTGCTGGGGCTGACGCTCTTGGCCACCACCGGCGCCTGGCTGGGCCGCTACCGGGGCGGGGGGGGCTGGCATGGCCACCTCCAGTTCAACGTCCACCCGCTCTGCATGGTGCTGGGCATGGTGTTCCTCCAGGGTGATGGTGAGCAGGACCCCCTCTCCCCCCTGCAGCCTTCAAACCTGTCCCCCCAACCCGGAGCTGCAGCCAGGCGGGGAGCGAAGGGGACAAAATGGTGACCAATGAGGCCTGGAAGATGCTCCAAGGCCAGCCCTACCTGGGTGCAGCACCCCTGGGAGATGCGGGGTGCTGGGGAGGTTGGGGACCCCCCCCTCCCCTCCATGGATGCTCATCCACCCTCTCTCTCCCAGCTCTCCTGGTCTACAGGGTCTTCAGGCACGAAGCCAAGCGTTCCACCAAGGCGCTGCACGCCCTGCTCCACGGCCTGGCGTTGGTCATCGCCCTCGTGGGTGAGCCCCGGGGCCAGGACGGGGGGTCTGGGGGGGCCAGGGATGGATCCGGCCGCGGTGATTAACGGGCTCCTCTCCCCCCAGGCATCGTCGCCGTCTTCGAGTCCCACCGGGCCAAGGGCATCCCCAACATGTACAGCCTGCACAGCTGGTGCGGGATGGCCGCCTTCGTGCTCTACCTCCTGCAGGTGAGGGCTGGGGAGCCCCTGGGGGGGAGACGGGACCCCCGCAGCCCCCCATAACATCCCTGTACCCCCCCCACCCCTGCAGTGGCTCCTGGGCTGCGGTTTCTTCCTGCTCCCCGGGGCCTCCTTCTCCCTGCGCAGCCGCTACAAACCCCTGCACGTCTTCTTGGGCATCGCCCTCTTTGCCCTCTCCATCGCTGCCTGCCTGCTGGGCATCACTGAGATGCTCCTCTTCAACATCAGGTGGGTAACTGAGCTATGGGGGAGGTTAAGGGGGTGGTTTTCCCCCCCTCCCCCTACTCCCCTGACCCCCAGCAAAAGGCTTCTCCAGCCCCGTGGGGCAGTCTGGCCCCTGCTCAGGCCATGGCTATTAAATCTCCCCCCGAGGCTTCTAGTTCTGCTGCTGCTGAGTCACTTCCCAGATGATGTTTAACAAGGGCTGGGTCTTGTGACAGCTTTCTTTAGGGGTGGGGATAAAATGTCCACGGAAGCCTCTTTGCAGCCAGGTGTTTTCAGAACCATCCCCCTCCCCGGGAGCCTCGTGTCCCCAAGTCCTCTGCCCTCACAGCTGGAGGACATGGAGGTGGCCCCAACTCCACATCAGGGTCCCCCCCCAGCCCCAGCACAGTGGGGACATGGCTGTGGGGCACCCCAGGAGACAGGTCCCTCTGGTTTGGGGAGCACATCTGGCCAGGGAGGTGCTCATAGCCCCGCTCTGGGACTGTGCCCCCGATTTTCTCTGCTGTCTCCAAGAGTGTCCCTTCCCAAAGTGAGGAGCACCCGGGCAGTCACCTCTTGCTCTGATTTGGGGGAAAAGGACCTTTCCCAGGGAGCATGCCTGGAGGACGAGGAGGATGAGGAGGGGGTAGGGACAGGCCACCCACACCCTGAGGCTTGAGCACCCCCCTCCTCTGTCCCCATAGTGACTCTTACAGCCGCTTCGTGCCCGAGGGTGTCCTGGCCAACACCCTGGGGGTGCTGCTGGTGGCCTTTGGGCTGGTGGTGGGCTACGTGTTGACACGGGAGGACTGGAAGCGCCCGCCGCTGGCCGAGGAGCTGGCCCTCTCCATGGACTTCAAGACCCTGACGGAGGGTGAGAGCCCTGGGGGTGGCAGCCAGTGACGTCCCCAGCTCCCCAGGCCCTGGCACGGGCACCTCGTGGTGTCTGTCTGTGGGGATGTCCTTGTGCACCTCGTCCCCAGTGCCTTGGGGCTCTGCCTGGCTCGGGGTGACGGGGACAGCTGGGGAAGGACACGCTTCTTGGTGTATCGCTGCCTGTTGGGTTCAGCCTCGCTTGGCCTTAATCCTCCTCAGCTCAGTCCCACGCAGCCCCCGGTGACCCCCCGAGCTTGTCCCCAGCCCCATGGGGACAGTGGCACCACAGGCAGGGGCTGGCAGCATCACTGGGGCACGAAGGAAGGGGGTTCCCCGGGCTCTGCCCTGCTCTGGGGATGGGGGGGGAGTGGGAGCCCAGATTTCCCCACTGAGAGCAGCCGAAACCCACAGCCCCTTCCCAGTGCCCATGGGCAGAGGGGTTGGTTGCCATCACCCCCATTTCCCACTCGCTGGCAGCCCATCACCCCCCCAGCCCGGCCGTGTGTGGGGGCTGCTCTCCCCAAAGGGTTCCCCGGGGGCTCGGAGTGACCCGGTGCCTGTGAAGGTTCAGCATCTTCGTGTCCGAAATGTTCTCCCTCTCGTGCCATGTGTTGTCTGCTCAGTGGATGCTCCTGACCCAATAAATGTTTGCAGCTAACCCCGTCCTCACCCAGCTCGTCCTTTTGGGGTACCCTCAGCTCCCACGTGCCATGAGGGCTGGGGAGGGCATTTGGGATGGGATTGTCCCATCCGGACGCCGTGCACCCTGTGGCTGCGTGAGGAACCCCACGGAGATGTCTCCAGGGTCTGGCCGTGCACTGGATGTGCCCGTGGATGTGGGGGTGACCCACTGCTGTGAGGAGGTGCATCCCCGAGATGTGGACTCTTCTCCTTTGCTGAAAGCACCCCCTTTTCCTTCTGGCCTTGGGCATGGGCAGCAGCGTGGGTGAAGCTGCTGGAAACCTGAACTCCTGATCCCAGCGCTGCAAAGAACAGCCCCAACGAAGGCACAAGCCCAAACTGGGGTTTTTCCCTCTCCACAGCCCCGTGTCCTTCCAGTGCTGAGCATCCAGCCCAGCACCTGGGAACAGGGATGCTGGTGGCTGCGAGGGGCTGCGAAATGGGGTCCTGGGTTTGGGCAGGGATGAAGTGAGGGGACACCCGGCTTCTCGGGAGCTGCAGGGCTCCAGCATCCACAGCATCGAGCTGTGCTTCCCACAATTTAATCCAGAAAACTCCCTGATGCAGTTCCTGGACATGAGCAGGCAGTGGGCACTTGCAGCCCAGAAGGCCAATCGCATCCTGGGCTGCATCAAAAGCTGCGTTGCCAGCAGGTCCAGAGAGGGGATTCTGCCACTTTACTCTGCTCTGGTGAGACCTCACCTGGAGTATTGTGTGCAGGGCTGGAGCCCTCAATATAAGAAGGACATGGACCTGATGGAGAGGGTCCAGAGGAGGGCCACAAGGATGATCAGGGGAATGGAGCACCTCTGCTCCGAGGACAGGCTGAGGGAGCTGGGGTTGTTCAGCCTGGAGAAGAGGAGGCTCCGGGGAGACCTAATAGCAGCCTTCCAGTACCTGAAGGGAGCCTACAGGAAGGCTGGGGAGAGCCTGTTTAGAAAGGCCTGCAGTGACAGGACGAGGGGCAATGGCTTCAAGCTGGAGGGGAACAGATTTAGACTGGAGATGAGGAGAGGGTTCTTCACTGTGAGGGTGGTGGAGCACTGGAACAGGTTGCCCAGGGAGGTGGTTGAGGCCCCTTCCCTGGAGATATTCAAGGAGAGGCTCGACGAGGCCCTGGGCAACCTGGTCTAGTTGGGGGTGTCCCTGCTGACTGCGGGGGAAGGACTAGATGGCCTTTGGAGGTCCCTTCCGGCCTGGGCAATTCTATGATTCCCTGCATCATATTAGCTCCCCTTTGCCACCCGCAGCGGCAGCGCTGCCTCCGTCCCCTCCTGCTCCCGGCGATGCCAGATCCCTGTCCCCATCCCTGTCCCCGTCCCCAGGCAGTGACAGCCAGACCTGACCCTCCTGTATCCCAACACCCCTGTGTTATTCCCACACCCAGAACCCACGTCCCGCTCCTTCACCCTCCTCCCTGTGGGAAAAACACCAGGCCAGACGCCGTTTCCAAGTGTTAACCATTTATAAATAAGTACATTTTTTTTTTTTTCATACATACAGTTTTCATTGTACAGATTACAATCTGTATACATTGGGGGTGGGGGGGGTGGGGGAAATGCATTCTTTTGAACTTTTCACATCTATCTCACAGCTCACATGTACAGACAAGAAAACTCTGCTCAAGCAAATACAGCAAAGGAAAAAATATGTTTTCTTCTTTCCTTATACATGAGAGGCGAAGGCCTCCGCTGTCGGCAGGGGCTGCTCTTCCCACTGCACAATTATCACAACTGTGTGGTGTTCAATATATCAGTAGAGAGAACAGAACATGCATTGAATAATATACTGTACAGAGAAAGTCCTTTACATCAGAATTATAGAAAAGCTAAAGGAAAATTTTAAGTGTCTTAAAGATCTTCCCAGCAAGTGTCTCGGAGGATGGCAACCAGGGGGGGCTGTACAAAGCAGGGGGAGTGTGGCCCGTAGGTGTTGGTACCCAACTCGGATCCTCTCGGATGTGAAGACAAGGAGGGGGACGGGACGCTGAATGCGACACGATGGGAAAGAAAAGGCTGGACGGGGAGGGGGGTGACGCTGGCAGAGTCCACGCGAGTCTCTGGCTTCTCGGTGCAGCCACGGGAGGGGACTCGGGGTGACACACAGCGCTGCTCCCCGTCTCTGGCTCCTCAGCGCCCGGCGAGGCAGACCCCAGGGCGAGGGGACCCCGATTCCCCGGGCGGGAGGGTCTCCCACCCACCCAGCACGACCCCGACCCGCCGGAGGAGATGACCCGCAGCCCCACCGCCGGCGTCACCCAGAAGGGACAAAAAGTCTTTTGGCAAAGCAGCCCTCCGTTTCCAGGACTCTAGGATGCCATCCCGGCTGCTGACTCCCCAGTACCGTGACAGCTAGAAGATGAGGAGGAGGAGGAAGGATATGGCAGATGGGTCTGGGGTCCCGCTGGCTCTCCCGGTGAGGGTGGTACTAGCTGTGTGTTCTCTCGGGTAGGTCTGTAAGAGTTTGCGGTGAGATCCAGCTGTAGAGTCAGGAGTTGGACACGAACGCATCTTGCTAAAGAATTGAGCCCTTAGTGGTTTATATTAGAAAAAAGAGTTTGATTGAATGAAAATCCAGCAATTATTCACACAAAATCTGAAAAAAAGCGCAGCTTAACTTCCAACCATTGTGCTTTGTGTCCAACGCACACCCCACCGGGCTTGGCGTAGAGCAACCAGCACGGGGTGAAGGCATCTACCTGCAGAGGTCCCAGCGGGTACGACAGCTCTGCCCCTAAGCCCTTGGTTCCACACCGTGGATCCCGATAAAAGAGTTATATCTTGAATTCCCAAGCCCAAAGCAAAGTACAACCACCAAAGAGCTTGCGACAGCTCACTGCGGGCCCCCCGGCGCAGGAGGAGCAGGCACACTGGCTTGCTTTTCTCTAGGTAAGGCAGAGCTGGCATTTCGGTTTTAGCTTGATTTCTTCTGGGTAACCCTGAAAATACAGCAGCCTGGGTACGAGGGGACTGAATCCCTCCCAATTTAGCAGCCACCCTGGATCCGGACCTAAACCCAAGCACGGCGCAGGCATTGGGTATACACACACACACCGGGTTTGCACCAGCCAAACGGGTTCCTTTACAGCCAGGTTGAAGAAAAAAAACCCCAAAAAGATCAGCACTGGGACAGACCCACCTGTGGGCACCTCAGACAGACAGACAGACAGACAGACGGACGCCGGGGGCGACGCGGAGAAGGCGGCTCAGGCTACGCGGTGCTTTCACCTTTGGAGATGGATCCCAAGGGATCTGTCTCTAAAATCCTCCCTTTCCGAAGCACCAACAACTATTTTCCAAGCCCTCCAATGCCATTCCCAGCCTGGCTGGTGGGGACCCCCGCAGGGCCCCCCCCCCCACCAGGCGGGTGTCCCCTCCCCTGGGACCAGAGCATCCTCCAAGGGTGGGGGACAAAGGGAGAGCCGGTGGGTCCCTGCCGGGGATGTGACACCCAGATCCCGAGGTGGGAGAGAAGATTCCAGCTTTGGGGCTGTGGGCAGAGGACGGGAGACACCTGGTGGGATGGTGGGATAAATACAGGGCTGGGCTTCAGCATCAGAAACCAAACCCGGAGCTTTCCATGTCACCAAAAACCCAATTTACTCGGTGCCCTACGAATCCTACTCGCTCGCAAGACGGGATGTGATGCCCCTGCAGCCGGGGAGGGGACAGAGAAGGGCTGGCAGCACCATCCCACACCTTCACCACTCAATTACACGATGGACAACAGAACACCACATCTCAAACACGTTCCTGCAACGCAGCCCGGGCTTCTGAGATCAAGATCTAAGATGACAGGGTGAAGAGGGACATCAAGGGAGATCCGAGCCCCACCGAGCCCCGTGCCCAGCAGAGCTCAACCACAGCTCGACCACAACACCCAACGGCCTCGGCTTCTCCTCCCTGCCAAATCCCCATCCCGACCTTGAGGACACAGTTTGGGGGGGGCTGTGGAAAGAGCGGCTTTTCCAGGGAGAGGTGAGCTCCTTCCCGGGGACCGCAGCAGCCACCCTGCCTCAGCTGGCCCTAAGAGAATTGCTGGGGAAGCGCCTTAAAACCACTGCAAATAATTTTGTATTTAAAAATTACTCAATCTGTTGATGCTTATATACAGGAGTCAGTTCTTGTGCTATAAATGTTATGATTCATTGCTTAGTTTCTCTTCTTTTTTGTTTTTTGTTTTTTTTTTTTTGAAAAATACACTAAGAGACAAGAGCTGTTCTGCTATTTTCTAATGAAGACACTACTCACGCTTAAATATCCAGTATTTATCATAGTAACAAATCCAAACAGTAAAGTGCACCCATTTACAGAGAGAACAGATGGAAAACCATTAGTGCAAGAATCCCGTGAAAAATGTAACACGTGGTATCATGAAAAAAAAACCCCTGCACGCCGCAGTATTTAAGCCTCCTTTCAGCTTGGCCTTTGTGTCTACGAGTGTGAGATGTTTTCTTTTTCCCTTAAAACACCTTCATAAACCCCAAAGTTACACCCCGGGGCTCTGCGAGGGGACGGCACCGGGAGGACCAGGAGGTGGGAAGGGGAAGCAAAGCGGGTCCCGTCTGCATCCGGGCGGCAAAGAACCGGCCGACGGCCCCAGTGTGTCCCGCTCAGCCCCGCAAAAAGGGGGACGGGGCTGAATTTGGCTACTTTTCCCTTTTAAAGAAGCAACTAAAGGCAAGAAGCCACTCCTGGATGGGAGGTGTTGGGCGAAGCGAGTGGTGCCGCTCCGGAGCCGCGGAGAGGATGTCCCAGCGAGAGACGCGCCGCACGCGGAGGAGGAATCGGTTTTTCCTTCAAAAGCAGAACATACTGCTTCGAAAAATAGAGAGGAACTTAAAAAACCACCCTCATCAGACCCCCTTTGCAAGGAGAGAAATAGTGCATGGAGCTGAGTGCCCCCCCCCAGCCTTACAGAGCCCTGTCGTAAAGCAAAGAGTCAGCCCTGGGTTGCACCTCGAGAAAGAAACCACCAAACTCAATCCAAATACCGGCTCAGACAAATACCAAAAAGCCCCAAAGGGCATAAAAATCTCCAAACCCCATGGAGGAATCCCTCCTCCTCCTCCTCCTCCCCCGGGAATGTTCTCAACGTGTCTATGAGACACAAACCTGCACCATCCCAAGGTGCACACGTCCCAGTTTGAGCAAATCAGGCAACGAAATGAGCAACGAGATGGGCTGATCCACACACAGACACCAGAAATAAAACCAAAACCCCATGGAAACCAGGGGTTGCTAAAGAATTTGGGGCTAAGTCCGTATCTGGTGTAAAGGGATGGGGCTGCAGGGGGGGGATATGCTCATTTACACCAGCTGGAGGTCGGGCACCGTGATTTGGTTCAAGAAGTCTCACAATCTCCTGCTCATTAGCCCTTGGGAAACACGGAAAGGTTATCGCTCCTCCTGCTCAGCGCTGGGATCGCTCCAAGAGTTGATATGAGTGAGGTCGAGCAGGGGCAACAGGCACTAATTCTGCTTTAAAACCAGCCCCAGGGTCAGCCCTCTCCCTCCCCCTCATCCCACCCTTCGCCCTCGGTAACTGAAAAGGCAGATTAGGAACCCAGCAGTAATAAATGAAACTGTAAACAAAGCCCTTCCACCTCTCCCCCCCAAAAAAATTCAGAGAATAACTGAAAAATTATTGAAAAATCCCAGAAAAACAGATTTTGGAAGCATCCCTTGCTTTTTCACACTGTCTTGATGTGATTTAAGAAAAAAAAAAAAAGAAATAGAAAAAAGAACCCAACCCAAACAATGCCTTGAAGTAGGTCGCATAAATAAATTATAAATATCTCTCTTTTAACTACAGGCCCTTAAAAAGCAAAACACGGTCTCTGCCATGTACAGGTACGGAACACGGGGAATTGCTTTCCAGGATTTTGGGAGTGGATCTCAGCGGAGGACGGTCCTCGCTCCGGCAGCAGCTCCCCGAGGGGAGGGATGGGGAGGGGCTGGGTCTGCAGAAGGACCCTTCCTGTCTCAAGAACCATCGTGCCACCTTGTGCATCGCCATTTTAAAAAATAAAATAAAATAAAATAAAAAAATTACAAATTTAACATCGCAATTTTCCTCCTCGAAGACCATTTGCCAAGTCAGATTTTTTGTTCTTCCTTGCGAGGGAAAAAAACCTCACCAAAGGGAACCCCCCCCAACACTAAACCCTCCCGGAGAAAACGCGAAGAAGTTGTCGCAATCCCGGTCCACGCACTAGAGGTTCCCTCCCTCAGCTCATTAAATCACATACGAAGGGCTCACGTTAATTGCCCACTGCTTCTAAAATGCCCCCCCGGGCACAGCAGTGCTGGGGCACCCGGCAGGGAGCTGGAGGAGCAGCAGAACCCGGTGTGGTCCCCTCCCCTTCTGGCTGATGGCGCGACTAAAGGAGGAAGGAATCCAACTCGGATGAAGAGCTACAAACCAGAGGGAGCAGGACGGTTACTGCGCACAGCTACGTGGAATTAAAACACCTCCCTGCGGGTAGTTTGCTCTTTGAGGGGGGGGGCAAAGAGCCAAAGGACCCGGCCGGCATGAGGACCTGTGGATGCAGCCTCGGGAAAGGCTCCGGTGATCCCTGCTCTGCTCCCACTAGGACTTCCCACCAGAAGAGAGCTCGTGGAGACCAAAGAAACCCATTAAAAACGATCGCCATCGTCTCTTGAAAAGGAGCTGGTTACCTCCCGTTGCACGGGGGCTGTTTCTGGACCCCCCCCGCGCCACGTCACTAAGATATCCTGGTGGGGAATTCAGCTGGAATTGGGCAAAGGAGACTGGCTCAGCTGATGGTGGCTTCACGGTCGGCTGGGGAACGGAAGGGCTGCAGCACGTGCATGGCTGTCTGACCACCACACAAAGTACCGGAGAAACTTGGTCATGGAGCTACCAAAAAAGAGAAATAAAAATAATAATAATAATAATAATATGCATGGAAATCAAGCTTGGAAGTGTGTGCTGAAAAACATGAGGGTCTTACTCCAACAAGCGTCTTTTACACATTAGACTCCACAAATGGTCTCTTTGGTTTGATTGGGGATGTCTGCCCTTGCCTGGAGTCCCTGGAGAGCTGCCTGTACAGGTTGTCCTGGTAGGCCTGTGCCACAGGCAGTGTCCTCGCCACCTTGACGTCGGGATACGAGGAGGCTTGGGTGACTCTCTCCAGGAGGTCTCCCCGGGACCCATTGGCCAGCATCCCATGGGGGCTGTAATAGTCTTCCTCTAGCAAATGGCCATTCTGTGCATTGTTGGTTTTGTTATAAAAGGCAATGTTGCTGATTGAAGAAGGCGGGCTAAACGATTCGGGCTGGGGGAGATTCCCAGGAGACGTAGGACTAATGACAGTGTCCACGGACGACACAGCCCAGGTCCTGTTCTGCTGATGGAGGTGGGGGTACTGCTGAGTCCGAGCCGTTTTATCTATGATTCCCATGAACGGCGTGGTCCGGGATCGGGCGGGCTCGCTGGGGTAACCCCCCTGCGTGGGAGAGACCGGAGAAAGTTCATCGCACGCTCTGTCGTAGGCTGGCTTGAGAGGGATCTCCATCTGCTGAATCGAAGCCGAGGGGCGGAAGTTGGGAGTCAGGTTGGAGGTGGAGGAGATGCTATTGCTGGAAGGAGAGAAGCGGAGGCCGACGCTCTGAGAGTGGAGCAGGGGCCTCGGAGTCGGTGGGTGAGGCTTGATTTCGCTGGGATTGACCGAGATGGGCCTTCTTATGAGGTGAGACACATCTGGAGAGCCCAGCTGGTTGGCGGGGAGGGAAGAACGTTCCAGGTCAAGCTTGGAGTGACACACCGGGTAGTAGGAAGCGGACTGGCTGCGCCCGATCTGAGGCGTCTGGCTGTATCTCATCCCTCCCCTGTAGGCCGAGGACGGTCTCTGGGGAAGGTCTTCTTTAGCCAACCCTCCGTGCTGGCAGATGGCTCCGGCGCTGAGGCTCGCCTGGACGTGCTGCACTGGTCTGCTGTCACCTACGATGCCACCGATGGAGCCCTGGTAGACCAACCTGCTCTGGCTAACCCCCATTTCCCCCGACGCCGACTGGTACTTGCTGGCCATCGAGTGGGCAACCTGGCTGTAGGCACCGGTCGGGATTACAGTACTCGAGTGGACGGCGGAGCTGGGCTGGTTGCTCCTCACGATCTGAGCCTTGGCTGGTTGCAGCCTCAGCCCTTGCTGTGGCACGGCCACGGGGAGCTGGGGCATCTGGAAGGACCTCTGTGTCATCTTGGACAACGGAGACTTTGGTCTACCGGGGAGCTGGCTGACCCCGCTAGGTTCTTGCTGATAACGAACCGGGGAACCGGACTGTGACCTGTAAACGCTCATGCTTTCTGCTGGGGGGCTGGCACGATACTGAGGACCTCTACGGAGAGGTGAAGGGGGAGGGCTTTGATATTCCTTCCCTTGGCTTCCAACAGGAGGTGGGCTGAAGCGGTAAGAGGAGCCCTGGTGAGCAGGGGAGGTGTGAGGAGGACTGGGTCTGTAATGTGAGTTTTGGTGCGTCGGAGACAGAGCAGGAGAGGTGGACTGGTACCCTTGCCTGGTCGGCGAACCCACGGAGCTGTTGGACCTGAAATCGAAGACCTGATGAGAGCCAAGAGGTGAGCCAGAAATATAGGCCGAGTCCCTGTGAGCCGGGGACGGGGGCGGGCTCTGGATGATGGGCAGCCCTTGGTTTGGCCTGGACTCTGTCTGCAGGCCGATGGAGACGTTTTCTACGTCCTGCTCGAGGTATTCCTCCTCAAAGATGTCTTGCACAGAATAGAGCTCTTCATGCTGGGCTTCGGGCTCGGGCTCCACCGGGAGCGGCGGCGGCGGCGGCTGCTGCTGCTGCTGCTGCTGCTGCTGCACCTGACTGCACTCCTCCTCCACACGCATCAGCAGCCGCTGGATCTCCCGGTTGTTGGGACACAGCTTGATGGCCTCGTTCAGGTCCTCCAGGGCTGCTGAAAACTGCCTGCTTGACAAAAGGGACAGAAATGAGAACTGAAATTACTCTGGATTCGAAGGGAGCCCTTCTCGGGAGGCTCCTGGGGGTCAAGTGGCCTGTCTGTGTTAGTGAGGGACACGGCTGTGATTGCCACCGCCGGCGGCCTCCTGGGCCTCCCTGGGATTCATTTCATCCCAACTGAAGGAAAGCGCTGCCAGCCATCCTGGGGAGGAGGGGAAGGCAGGCCCGAGATGGCACAACCCGGCCTAGCAAAGGCGCCTGCCCTCTGTGGTGTGTGTGTGTGTGTTACAGGGTCATTAATTACCCCTCCCGGCACCACCAGGAGCTGTGTCCCTCCGTGCACCAAGGGGAAACCAAAGCCGAGCTCACCGTAAACAAGCGCAGCTTTGACGGAGCTGCAGCCTCTTACGCCAGGGAAAATTTAACTTCAGCCCGATGCCAAGACCACCCAGCGTCAGGAGCTCAGGGGCTCCCTCGGGTCAGTGCTCTGGGCAAGGCTTGTCTCACTGATTTTGCAAAGGTTTGGGCTAACTCCTTCCAAAGGAGGGAATGGAGCCCCCCCCGGAAAGCCTTTCACTGAATTTTTAGAGTTGGAAGGGACCATAGAGATCATCTAGTCCAACTCCCCTGCTGAAGCAGGATTGCCCAGAGCTTGTCAGAGCATGTTACTCAGGAGCATCCAGGTGGGGCTTGAAAATCTCCAGAGAAGGGGACTCCACACCCTCCCTGGGCAGCCTGTGCCAGGGCTCTGCCACCCTCACCCCAAACAAGTTCTTCCTCAGATTGGAGTGGAACTTCCCATGGTCCAGCTTGTACCTGTTGCCCCTCGTCCTTTCACTGGGAACCACTGAGAAGAGTCTGGCTCCCTCCTCCTTCAACCCACCCTTTAGATCCTTGGAAGCATTAATAAGGTCTCCCCTCAGCCTTCTCTTCTCCTCTTTGCAAGGGTCAAGGCCAGGCTGGGACTCCTGGGGTCTTTGGGGTTGGGGGAAGGGGGTTGGCATTTACAGGGATGCTGTTTGCTTTTGAGCAAAACCATCCTGTTTGAACGTGATTGTCATCTGGGGAGGGGGGATCCCCTGGGAAAAGCCCCCGGCACCTCCTGAAACTTTTGCACGAGCCTGAAAACCAGGCAGAGGAAGGGAAAGGCTCCCGTTGCCCGGATTTGCTGAGCCCAGTGGGGCTGCTGGGCACAAACTGGGAAATGAAGGAGAAAAGCCCAAGTGGTAATGGTTTCTGCTAGAGAGAGATGGGGAGAAACGGAGCCTTGTATGCAGGGAGGCTGATATCATCTGGGAAGGAACCCAGTTTTTGTGCTTCCTCACGAGTGTTTTGGAAACAATGGGGAGGAAAACCATTGGAGGAAAGGCATTAGGTCAGCGTGGCCCCACGAGCAGGACGTCTCTGCGGAACAGAAGGTCACGGCTTCACCTCCCACATCACGACCCAACGGACCAGGCATCAGCTGGGCCAGGAGCTCGGTTCCACCCATGGCCTCCAGCATGGAAGGTGGAATGGTGGTGGTGGTGCCCGCTGAGCTATGATGTCTACCCAGGTGGACTTGACATACCCCTGGCTACTGGCCATTCTCCGGGTGGCCATCCAAGGCATTTTGGCTGCCGTTTAAAACAGATGCCCAGCCTCTGAGGGTATGGCTCAAAAGCAAACCCTCCTGCTCGTTTAGGAATGGCATTGATTGGTTTTGAAATGAACCTCATCTCACATCTTTTAGCCTTCAGGAAGGTTAAGGAGGGAATCCTCCGGGCTCCAGCTGAGATGCAGAGATCTCCAGGAGCTGGTTGCAGTGCTCTGGGCACAAGCCATGGCTGGGAGCTCACCGGCCGGCACTTGGCCCCACGGTCACTGCCCAGCAAGCAGCAGCTTCTGACTCCCAAAAAGTGCTGCAGGACAGAGAGATTCATAGGTTCTATGGCCAGAAGAGATCACAGTGATGAATGAGTCTGCCCTCCTGCATAACACAGGCCACAGGGCTTCCATGAGTCACATTTTGCTTCAAGTCCAAGTTGCGGTTGAACTGAAGTGTATTTGTAAAGAGAATACCCAATTTTGGTGTAGTTAATATGTTCAGACAAAGTTCAACTAAGAGGAACCTCTCAAAACCTTTGCATTCGGCCACCTCCAGAAATTACTAAACGAGGGAGGGTGTGGCTTTGGAGTTTGAGAGGTTTGTAATCTCATTAACCCACGTCCCTTTGCCATTTCTCCCCTGGGGACACTGGTGGGGGTTTGCACGGTGGATGTGTGACCATGTTGATGTGGCCAGGCCTGAAGAGACCAGCCCCTCTCACTTTTGTCTCTCTCCCTCCTCACCTGCTGCTGCGTTTGGCCCTCGCTCTTGCATAGTAAGCTTCGTAAGATTTCGGTTTCAGCTCCAGTGCTTTAGTAGCAAATTCCTCCGCCATTCCAAAGTCCTGTCATTACAATGGGTGTGCAGATAAGTAATGGAACAGATACAGAAATAAAAAAAATATATACAGTTCAGGAAGGAAACAAACTTAGTAGGGGCACTTATTTTGCATGTAAACTTGGAAAACTTGATGGTACTGGAATGTTTCACATGGATTCGACATCATTTACAGCCAGAAATGGACGATGGCACGTCCAGTGACTCAAAACCCTCTCCTAACACCAGATGCTGTCAGCACCCGCAGAGGCCAGCGTGCCCCTGGCTCCGTTCTCACTGATTGTGTCCCCAAACAAGTGCATGCAACCCCTCTCCAACAACCTACAGTCTCGAGGAAACATCTGGTCTCGCAGAGGCTGGAATGTTATCTCATGAAGGATTTTTTTCCACGGTTGAAAGCAATAGGAAACCTTTCCCACGCCCTCCGCTTCCCACCCTGCTGCAGGCTGACATACTTTGAAGGGCTGAATAAAACTGCACATGAAGGAAGGGACTACGATACCTCGGTAGCTACAAGCAGGACTCACCTGGCAAAGGTCTCTCACCAGTGCCACCCGTGCCACTGTTCCTTGTCTCTCCCCTACTCCTCACCTGGGAGAGTCATTTGGGAGTGGGGAGGGTGATGGCACAGGCTGGAGGCTGCTCTCAAATGGCAGTGCCCTGAGAGTACCAGCTGCAGGTCAAACCCTGCCTGCTCTCCTCCCTTGCCTTGTCCCGAATGCTTCATGCACCACTAAGCTCAGCATTTGCAAAGGAGACCTCTCCCCAGTGGAAGGACTTTCATTTTGCAACCAAACAAACACAGCTTCAGGTTGCTGACTTGGGCTACGACCCTGAGAAGTTCTGGGATAAAGCACCAAAGTGATCCTGATGTGTTCAGAAACTCAGTAAACAAACTCCACCTTCTAGAAACAAAGTTGTTGAGGACACGATGGCCACTTGGACTGCACTGAGCTGCCACCTGCGAGTGAGCAGGGTCAGCTGGACCTCAGCAAAGCCCAGGGTGAGGTCTAATCTCCCCCAAGGAGAGCTTGTCACCTGGCTGCCCTGCCTGGGGAAGCTCAGACTTTTGTTGGTACCTTCAGTAGCAGTTACTGAAGAGATATTGCCCGACAGACTGAACTGGGAACGCAGTCAGGAGGTAGGTACCTTTTACAGCCTCATCTATAGATGCAAAAACTGCAGGAGCAATTCTAATCCCCTGAAATTTTTTATCCCAACACCAGGGATTCCCCAGCCAACAGTAAACTGGAACTCTTGTCCTTAAAGCAGAGGCTTAGCTGCGAGTTGGCTCGTTTGAAGAGAAGGTTCACGCTTTTTCTACAAACGGTGTTGTTTGCTCACCAGCGTTAAGATTTCGCTTCCACGGCTTTTCAACTGCCTCCCTCGCAGCTTAAACAAATGAAGTTGTCACAAAAAACCCTCTTTCCCCTCTGGTTTGTTGGCTCGTGGCCCTGGCAGTGATTTCACTTTTCGAGTCTTTGAAGACTTTATGCTGCAGAGGTGAAAGTCCCCGAATGCAGAGCAAGGGGGAGGTGGCACTTGTCTGCTGAAAGGACAGACACGCTGCAGGAGCTGCTCCTTAGATGCTGCTGGATTGGAGTGGGGAGAGTGACAGTGATCTGGCAGTTCTGGGAGGAGAGGGAGTGTGTGGGGGTGTTTCTGGATGAGTCACTGCCCTGGGGAAGTGCTACCCCCCTAAGCATATGCTCCTTCATTTTAAATTAATTAGTATTCAAAGGAGCACATCTCCTGGCTCCTCCCTCACCGCTGCCCTAGAAATCTGGAAAATGCCTCCACCCCCCAATTCACATCATCATCAAAAGGGAGTAATAAAAAATTCAAAAAGCTATAAACATAGCCATGAATTTTTAATCATCAGAAATGCATATTAAATCATTACTTCTTTCGAATTATAAAATGCCTATTCTCTGGGAAGGACAACCAGGTGACACAGAGGAGAGACCTCAGAGGTCAGAGCACCCTCAAGAGGGTGGACGTGTCTCTGTGCCCAGGCAGAAAGCTGGCACCTTGCCCCTGAGGCCATGGAGAGGGGGGAGACTTACATTCATTTTCCTTCGACACCGCGAGAGGTTGAGGAGGAGCGACACCTTCAGCTCCCGGAAAGTTTTCAGGTCTTCTCCAAACCCTTCCCTGGGGAATTTTTTCAGAGCGTACTGGTAGCGCTGGGCAGCCTCTTTCACTTTACCTTTCTAAGAGAAGGAGAACATGTCAAAACACATCCTTGGGTAGGGTTTCCCTCGCTGCAGAGAACTCACTCACCAGCCCCAGGAATGTTTGAGGTGCTTACGGTAACGTGACTTCACTGCTTAGCTCTTTTCTAGAAAGAAAAGCCAGAACGTTTGATCAAGGGAACATCTGATCTGGAAATGGAGAGAGATGCCTCCTGCGTGTTGGGTTCTCCCACTTGGTAGAGAGTTGTCACGCTACAGCGGGAAACAGCAGAAACTGTGTTATGTTAACTCCACACAACTCCATCTGGTCCCTGGATGGATGGTCTTTTGAGCTGGGCGATCAGCAACGCATTCCTGGAGAACACCCTACACCCAAAGCTTAATAAGCACCAGGGAGGGTGTAGAATCCAAAGTGTGGGACTTTGGGTGGAGTTCCTGGGGCCCAGAGAAGCCTCTGCAATAGCAAAGATAACGTTATGGTGCTGATGGGGCTCTCAAGTTGGACAAATGGGTTGGGATTCATCTCCACGGACTTTAGATGTCTAAAAATCAGGTGTCAACATCTAATCTGTCAACTGGGTTCCTTTTATAGTTATTGGGACGCAACAGTCACCTTCAAAGGGTGATTCATATTTGCTATTTTGGGCACCTATTTTTGGGATGGGATGCTCTGTGCCCTGGAGGGGGGCAGCCCTGGCAGCCAGGGTGAAAGAAAGAGGGCACAAAGGGATCTAGGACGCGTGCAATTCACGATGACCCCGACATAAATTCTGCAGCTACGAATAGTAAGGTTTCAAGCCTTACTTTTAGACTCAGGTTTCTCAGCTGTATCACGTATCCCTGGCAGATAACTCCAGTTACAATGCCAGCTCTGCATATTTTCTGCTTCACCCTTAGAGCCCAACAGTGAATCATTGTTGTACTTGCACATTTTGTGTGTGTGTGCAAATCTCCAGGTTTTAAAGATCGCCTTAAAATAGACACCGAGCAAAAAAGCCTCTCGCGTTCTAATGGTGGAACGTCTCCCACGGGCCAAAGGACACGATAAAGCCATCTGTGTCCTGACAATCTGTTTTCATTGCAAAAAAAGTTTCTTCCAGGAGTTTTTCTGGGATACACAATCTCGTTGCCTCATCCCGCGGCGCTCGGCCCGCGAGGTAACGGCAAGGTTGCCAGATCTGATGCGATGACATCAGCGCTCCGAATCTCTGTAAAACACTTGGGTTCGGGTGTTTTCAAAGAGGAAATGAAGTGCTGGCTCCACTCCAGAACGCCGAGAGACTTGGCTTTGCTTCAGCTTCGTTACAGATTTGGGCAATACCAATCCCCCCCCCCCTCCACTCCCTTCCCCAACCCCGCTAACCAAAACCAGTTTGGGACACAAGGAACGCTGCGAGCAGTAGCTTTGACTTGCCACGGATTAAAGCAGCAGCATTTTTCAGTCAAAACCTCAGACAAAGTCACACTTCAAGCTGCATCTGTTTGGTTTTTTCCAGAAACACTCTTCTCACCTTATAAAACATGTCTCCCTCCTCCATCAGCTTGCTCAAGAGGATGATCATGATGTCTGGTTTGGAGGTTGCCATCGCCCATGTTGCTGGACCTGTAGTGTACAGGATGCATGATGGGTAAAGAACTCATACAATGCAAGGGTGGTAGGAAGCTGGGTGGAAAAAATATCCTGGGGTGGGAATTTCTGCTGGAGAGAACAACTTGGCACGGTCAAAGGGCAGAGAGCTCCAAATGATTGAGCTGACAAATTCCTCTCGCGCTTAAATTAACGTCATCCTCCCTTGCAATGGTTTTTCCTTTGGCGGTCATTAAGGCTAATCTTAATTGCTGCCACCACCACCACCAACCACCACCACCAGCACCAGGATGGTCTGGGACATGATGGGAGCCGTTTCCACAAGAGGGCAGTGCTGGTTGTGGAACCAGCTGGGGTGGGGGAAACGGCGTGGTCGGGGAAATAAAACGTATTTAACAGGAAAAAATCAAGAGTGGTTACATAAAAGCATTTCTAAATTAAAAATCTCCAGAAGTTGACTAGGAAATCTGCAGGTTCGACTGTCGATGGGTGGGGTTTTTTTTGTGTGTTTTAAGTGGCTTGTGATTTCCAGCCTTCACCAGACGTGAACTAGTAGAGCAGAAAAATCCATGAAGGTGGAAAATACGACAAAGGAAAGGTGGTGTCTGAGCGGTGCTGGTGCCGGAGCCGCGTGTGGGCTGGGGACACGCTGGCTCCGCGCAGGGGACCAACCGTGCGGAGCCAGTCGTTATCTCAAGGGCTAAGACTGGGAGGGAAGGGGGGCAGCAAAAATTTGGGGGCGACTCATTAGTGTGGGTGAAGAATAAGTCAACAATATTCTATAAGTAGATTCAGTACGTTTTGGGGGAAAGAGGTTAGTTTTTGAGTTCAAGTTATTCTCTGCAACAGTCGTTAAAAAAATTATTTGAAGGTGAGGTAAATTAAAAGATTAGAGGTGTCGGGGACGCATGCAGGCTAAATCAAACAGGAGAAAGCAAGGCTGACAAAGCTATCAGATCGAAGCTGATGCTGACAGCAATGAGATATACCTCGTGGGCGACTCGGTAACGTCTGACAACCTTCAAAGAAAGGAGAAAACAAAAAGTTGTAGGAGAGAGGGGGGAAAAAAAAATGGATGAAGGTGAAAAAAAAAAAAAAGAAAAAAAGAAAGGAAAAAACAAAAAAAAGCAGCTGTGAGAGGCAGGCAGCAAAGAAGCCAATGCACCAGCAAAATCCCCTTTGACAGGAAAACGTAACGTGAGCGGCTGTGTGGCGCAGTGCAGGTCACACTAAGGTCTGGAAGCATACACAGAGCGAGTGAACGCAGCAGCTCACAGCAATGCATGGACAGAGTACGTTTTTTGGTCGACTCAAGACTAGTAAAGATAGAAAAAGCATTACCAGAGGAAAGACCTTGCCAAAGAAACAGTTGTTTATTGATTAACTTGGCTAAGTAATACGACAGGAAAAAAAAAAATATAAAAATAATAAAATATTCCCCATTTTAAATAAAGAGAATAAGGCAGTCATGACTCGATGGCTCCTTTCGGAGTCCGAAGCAGCAGCTGGGGCTGAGGCTACCTCTGTGTTACGCTTGTATTGCCTCAGAAACCAGCCCCACTGCTCGGAGTCCTGCCTGGGCACGGGGCCGACAGCACATTGTCCCCTTGTCCCTACCTATCTTGGCTCCTTTCTTCAGGAGAGTGACGACGACCGAGGTGTTGCGGCACCCCACCGCCCTGTCCAGGGGCCGCATCCCGCTGTAGTCGACGTGCTCGATCATGGCCCCATGGTCCACCAGGAACTGAACCTGAAATGAGAAGCCCAAGGGTCAGTTCTGCTCCTGGGCAAGATCTTTGGGTGCTGCTGGGGATGTACGACCAGCAGAAGCTTGGTCTGCTCCACTGCTTGGGCTAAAACCTTCTCTACAGGGTCTGAGGGCTGCTCAGACTCATGTGTTGTCCTCTACGGAACCACCTGTGTGCATGGAGAGCCAGGACTCTATATGCTTATTGCTACATCAAGCTCAACTCTACTATTTTAAGGCTCAAGTTGCACCAGGGGGAGGCTTAGGATGGATATTAGGAAAAATTTCTTCACTAAAAGGGTTGTCAAGCCTTGGAAGAGGCTGCCCAGGGCAGTGGTCGAGTTCCCATCCCTGGAGATATTTAGAAGATGTGTAGACGTGGTGCTGAGGGACATGGGTTAGTGCTAACTTGGCAGCGGTGGGTTAGCGGCTGGACTTGATGATCTTAAAGGTCTCTTCCAACCAAAACAATTTGATGATTCTATGATTTTACACCAACTGCCCATTCCCTTCTGCAAGCATTATAGACCACTCACCACCTCTGCATCGCCGTAAAAAGCTGCCAGGTCCAGCGGAGTGCGGCCGTTTTTATCCGCGTGGTCGGTGGCAGCTCCGTTCTCCACCAGGGACCGCACCACGGAGAGATGTCCCTTCAGACAAGCCCAGCTGAGGGCTGTCAAGCCCTCCTTGTCCATCAGGGAAATGGAGGCACCTGAAAGAACAAGCATCGGTTCACTTCAGAGCTCTCTCTTGTTGAGCGCCGTGACACGACAAACCATCCGCTAAGTGATGACAGCTTACTTTTAGAGAGCTATGCACATAATTATTAATTACTTTATTAACATTTCTCCCACCACGGATCCCACCCTCCACAGCAACTTCAAATGCACCGACGGGAACTGTGGCAAAGGAGTTTATTCACACCAAGCTGCAAACTTTTTCGCACCTAGCTCTGTGGGCTTTTCTGGCAAACATCTTCCAAGCAGCAGGGTGGATCTGACACCCCTCATCTGAGACATCCATCTTTCTTTTTAACTGTTTTTATTTTTTTTTTAATCAAACCCCGTTCCAGCCCGTGTGAGTCAGAGACGAAGACCATTTCGCTGTTTCAGCAGGTCACGCCGTACCAGAGGGAACTGAGTGAATTCAGCCCAGTTCTTCTAAAAAAGCACATATTTTCCCCTCTTCGCCCCCCTCCCCTTTACCCAAATCCACACAAGTTCCAGCAGTATTTCTCCCTGAACTTTACCCAACATAAATACAACTTTGTGGGATAAACTACTGCCAACTGCAAGCCAAGGAGAGAGGGGACTTGATGTTTTCTTGGATGAAGCAACCGCGCTGCCGTAGCGAGGGGTCAGCGCTGCTTTGTAGGGCAGATGGACACCACGTACGGGATCTGAACAGCAGCATTAAGTCAACGTTCCTCTCGGTGGCATGAAGACAACTCCGGTTGCCATGGCACAGGCAGGGCTCCGGCTCTGGAGCGTGCAGAAGGAAGAGATCCGTATTGGCTCCTGCGAGGAGCTGCGGCTCCCTGCGGGATGCTCCCGCCAGCAGGCTGGGATGAAGCGCCGCCGCAGTGTTTTTCTCCTGGAGGTAAACTCTAAACCACCCAGCGTGAGATCTTCACCAGCTCCAGAAAGCTCAGCGAGAGGGGAGTAATGGCAATTTCCTGCGCCTTCCCCTTCGTCCCGGCTGATATGGTCAAGAATGATGGGTACCAACAGGGATGGACCTGCTGGAAAGCACGCCTGAGGAAAAGGATCTGGGCATCCTGGTGGACAGGGAACTCTGCATGAGCCAGCAATGTGCCCTGGTTGCCCAGAGGTCCAATGGGATCCTGGGCTGCGTAGGGAAGAGTGTGGGCCTAAGGAAAAGGATCTGGGCGTCCTGGTGGACAAGGAACTCTCTGTGAGCCAGCAATGTGCCCTCGTTGCCCAGAGGTCCAATGGGATCCTGGGCTGCGTAGGGAAGAGTGTGGCCAGGAGGTGGAGGGAAGTTATTCTCCCCCTCTGCTCTGCACTGGGGAGGCCACAACTGGAATCCTGCCTCCAGTTCTGGGCTCCCCAGTTCAAGAGAGACAGGGAACTGCTGGAGAGAGTCCAGCGAAGAGCAACAGAGATGATGGAGGGATTGGAGCATCTCCCTGCTGAGTTGAGAGATGAGGGGCAATGGGCACAAGCTGGAACATAAGAGGTTCCACTCAAATATGAGGAAGAACTTCTTTGGGGTGAGGGTGGCAGAGCCCTGGCAGAGGCTGCCCAGGGAGGGTGTGGAGTCCCCTTCTCTGGAGATCTTCAAGCCCTGCCTGGATGCTCCTGAGTGATGTGCTCTGGGCAGCCCTGCTTTGGCAGGGGAGTTGGGCTGGACGATCTCTAGAAGGTCCCTTCTAACTCCAACAATTCCGTGATTCCATGACATGTCCCCGGTTAGCACACACCACCCAGATGGGAGCAAACTGACAGGTCTTCCAGCTCTCACAGCTTTTTGTTTGAGGAGGAGAAACAACATCCCAGTGTTTGCTCAGGTTGTGCTCAGAAACCTTCACCCAGAGCTCTGGGCCCTGCTCGCTGCATGGCTCACATGTCCCTGGTTAGCACACACCGCCCAGATGGCAGCAAACCAACAGGTCTTCCAGCTCACACAACTTTTTGTTTGAGGAGGAGAAACAACACCCCAGTGTTTGCTCAGGATGTGCTCAGAAACCTTCACCTAGAGCTCTGGGCCCTGCTCGCTGCATGGCTCCAAACAGCAGCACGGATGGCAGGGAGGTAGGTGGCATCTTTGGGGACACTGGCCGCCAGGCAGCTCAAGTATACAGGCTAGAAGTCCCAACACCTCTCCAGTCTTCTCTCATGTTGCCCACACTGTGCCCAGGAACACTTCAGAAGCTCTGTGGAAGCCCTCCAGACGATCCCCAACCGACCCATGGCCAACTCTTGCTCAGCAAAGCAGGATAAAGCCTCATTTCACTCCTTCTAATTTGTACCAGCTACTTCCTTGCCATCAAACCGTCAACGTCTTCTCTCCTGTTTTCCCTCTGACTCTTCTGGAGCAGGTGAGAAAGCTCCTGCAATGAGAGGGAAGGCTGGAAAAGCCACATCCTCACTCAATCTTCCCACTCTTCTCCCAGTCTGGTGGAAGAGACACACCGTAGCACAGGGGGACATGCCCAGGCTTCAGGACATTGCTGCAGCCGTGAGAGCTGAAGGTCTAAGGGAGTGGAGAACGGCCATCGCTTCAGAGATGCCCAAATGCTGCTCCAAGGAACCTGGGCATGACCTGCACAGAGGCACTGAGCTCCAGCAGAACCTCTGCTTGACCTTGAAGGCATCTTTGGCTCCTCTGGGAATCTCCAACCCCCTTAGCATTAAGACAGTCGGACGTGAAACAAACTGATGGTTGGGAGAACAAGTGGCTTATGGTGACCTCGTGGGACTGAGCCCTGCTGCCGTGGGCAAGATTTTGGCCGGGCAAACCCAGCTGGCTTCTGAGAAGGGCCAGGATGCTCCTTCCCTAAAAAAAATTACCTGGCTAAACACAAATTCAGCAGACACACAACAAGGAGCCGGCTAGAGAGAGAAAAAGAAGAAAGGATGGACACTTGGAGCATCAAAAAGAAGGTGGGAATGGCCAGGATGGTCAGATCCTTTCTGGGCAGAGGATGCATGAGAAGATGCTGTGCCCGTGCAGGGCTGTCCCTGAAGGGACAAGGCTCAGTGTTGTGTGTCACAGGCACGAGACAGACAGTGAGGAGCAGCACCCACATCAACCACAAGCCCCAAGGTAGCAAAAACACCGAGGCACTGATTTTTTTTTGCAGGAAAACGAGATTCAGAATCAAGCTCTCTCCAAACATAACGAGCATCAAGAATTTCTTTGCTTCTTGTAACACAGACCCGTGCGAACACCAGCTTTAGCAGAGCTGTTACCAGGAAAGTTTAATTCACATTTCACACGTCCATTACTTCTGGGTGTCAACCAAGAGCAGTAGGTAACTCCAAAAATTTGGATTTCAAATTGATTGATGACTGCAACTCTGTTAATAAAAAGTGTTTACAAATGCTGGCTGTGTTAATCAAGTACAGTCAAATGAGATTTGCTTTGCAACACACTAATTAATGCTTATGGCTTATGATTCACACACTTTGATTTTAATGAAACATTGAACAGGATTGTCAAAGCCATTTTAATTAAAATACACCGTATATCACTGTACTCTGCCCAGGCTCAAGCTAACTTTCCAGGACCATGTGCTATAGCATAGTTAGTGGAGTTTATTAAGCTATTTAGAAGAAGAATGGACCTTTTAAAGTAAAAAAATATTTTTGTATTTTTGACTTCTTGGGCTCTCAGTGTCCAAAGAGCCAGGGAAACACGATGTGCATTTGCTGGTGATCCCACAGCCAGGATGAGGTTACCTTTTCATCCTCCACTGAACCAGCCAGTCTAAAGCAACACACACAGTGCTCAAGTCTGGCAACAACAACAACAAAAAATCTCTTATTTTAAGCCTTTTGCACAGATTCAGTCAAGCTGCAAAAGGGGCCACGTTACGAATCAAACACGGAGAGCTTTAATTTGAAATTTTTAAAAGAGCAGAACATGGGAAAAGAATTAATTGAATTAATTTGTAAGAAACTCATGCCTGATCTTTGGCACATCCCTGTGCAGGTTACAGCATGAACAGCAGGGATCCCACCGCCCCACGGCTCAGGACAGACAGACAGGCAATGGGAAACTTGCTCTTGGAAGCCTGGCAATTCTACAGTGAAAAATATTCTTATAACTACTACGTAAAATATTCAAGTGTCTCACATTTTGGCTAAGGGGTCAGCCACAGTCACTTACGATATGAAGAAAATATCCCTTCCCAAAGAGGGATCTTACCTGAAATAAAAATATCAAATAACAACACAAGAATTAAATGCTATTTTTAGCCAAAAAAAAAAATAAAAATTACCGAAACACACCAAACAAACACTGGCTACTTGTCAAAAAAGAAGTCTCTAAGGAAGGACAGAAATGGGAATGAATGGTGCTCCCGCAGGCTGCAGGCAGCGGGTTGTTCTGACTCACCCCAAACCTGCACAGCAGAAATGAGTAAAACTGAACCATGCTCCTGTCGAGTGAGTAACTCCCAGTGAAGGGGAGTTATTAGACACCAAAAGTACTGAGCAAAGTGAATCTGCGAGCACAAAGCTGAAGAGCAGGCTATCTTCAAAATAATCCTGTTTTATTTTCAACAAATACACAATTCCTTGCCTGTGTTGGGGCCTTACCCTCCTGCTGCTGCTGGTGTCAAAAACGTGGGCATCGATACCAGCACTAAAAATGGAAGTGTTAAAACGTGTCCCAGACCCTGGTCCCGTGGTTGAGTCTCCCCTGCCTGTCCCATGGCAATGTCTATGGTTCAATCACATCACTTGTTGATTTTTTTGTCTAAGGGGAAAGCTCCGAGAACGGTTCAAGGGCACGTTCTTAACGCTCAAAGCACCTGGGCAATGTAATTTTATTTTCTGACTCAAATGTGTGGTTTTGAGGCTGGGAGCACCAAACACAGACAACAAAACAGGCAGCCAAGATGAATGCTATGACTGTTCTAGTTCTCCAATGAGCTGGATACGGTGCTGAGAACCTCTCCACCGCCTGAGCCAACAATGGGATTACAATCCCCACCCCACAAACTCCAGCTGTGCAGGAGCCAGCCCGGTGGGACCCGCCGTGGCCGGTCTCCAACACGCTTCCAAGCACGTCCTCTAACCTTGTGCAAGCAGAAACTCCACCGTGCCCAGATGTCCCTCAGATGCGGCCATCATCAGCGGCGTCCGGCCCTGCTTGTCTGCCATGTTCACATCGGCACCGTGCGTGAGCAGGAGATCGACGATCTGCAACACACAAAGGGAGAACACGTGTTGCAGGGAGAGACCCAGCTGGGAACACACGTTGTATGTAGAGGAACCCGAGCCAAGGAAGAGCAGATTGGTCCCAATGTCCTGAAACTTCACCCCTCCCAAGGCATGGTGCCCTCTGAGACTACTGCTGCAAGGTTATAATCACAACAATAGAATGGTTCAGGTTGGAAGGGACTTAAAGGCCATCCAGTGCCACCCCCTGCCCTGGGCAGGGACACCTCCCACCACACCAGGTTGCTCCAAGCCCCCTCCAACCTGCCCTTGAACCCCTCCAGGGATGGAGCATCTCCCACCTCTCTGGGCAACCTGGGCCAGGCTCTCACCACCCTCACAGCAAACAAGTTCTTCCTAATATTTCAACTAAATCTTCCCTCTTTCAGTTTAAAACCATTCCCCCTCGTCCTATCGCTACAATCCCTGATGAAGAGTCCCTCCCCAGCTCTCCTGGAGCCCCTTCAGACATTGGAAAGCTGCTCTAAGGTCTCCCCAGAGCCTCCTCTTCTCCAGGCTGAACAATCCCAACTCTCTCAGCCTGTCAAGAGAGGCACAGGAGAAGCGTATAACGACAGTAAAAATGAACTTTTAAGTCAAGAGCATCCCCCTTGCTTCCCAAATGGTGAAATAACGCAGCCCTTAAGCAAAAGCTGCCTGTAGCCAGCACGAGCTCAGGGTGCTGGAAGCATCAACATCTCTCCTTCTCACTCTGACCATTCCTCAGAAGATTTGGGGTTTGTTTTCACTGAATTTTCACTGAATTTCACTGAATTTTTAGAGTTGGAAGGGACCATAGAGATCATCTAGTCCAACTCCCCTGCTGAAGCAGGATTGCCCAGAGCTTGTCAGAGCATGTTACTCAGGAGCATCCAGGTGGGGCTTGAAAATCTCCAGAGAAGGGGACTCCACACCCTCCCTGGGCAGCCTGTTCCAGGGCTCTGCCACCCTCACCGTGAAGAAGTTTCTCCTCATATTTGAGTGGAACCTCTTCTGTTCCAACTTGTGCCTGTTGCCCCTCGTCCTCTCACTGGGAACCACTGAAAAGAGTCTGGCTCCCTCCTCCTTCAACCCACCCTTGAGATACTTGTCAGCATTGATAAGGTCTCCCCTCAGCCTTCTCTTCTCCAGACTAAAGAGTCCCACCTCTCTCAGCCTTTCCTCATAAGGGAGATGCTCCAATCCTTGAATCATCTTTGTTGCCCTTTGCTGGACTCTTCCCAGTTTTCTTCACCCATCCTTCAGCAAGATGGAAGGAATGGCCCGACCCTGTTACTTCAGGCCCTCCCAGCGGTGTGAGGACCCCACTCACCTGCCAGTGGCCTTGTCTGACAGCGCTGAAGAGCGGGACGACCCCGCGGCGGTTGGGCTGGGCCACGGCAGCGCCCTGCTCCAGGAGGAGCCGGCAGACCTCCAGCTTCCCGCGCCCCGCCGCCGCCGTCAGAGCTGCAGGAGAGAGAAAAGCAGTGAAGGAAGGATGGATGGATGGATGGATGGAAGGGAAAGAGCCACGCTCTCCTCAGAGTTTGTTTCATACCCGGAGACAGGTCTCTCTGCTGGATATCGAAGCGACGGCGCCTGAAACGCCAAACAGAGCTCACCACAGGCAAAACGAGCAAAGAAAATGGGTTGGCTCAGTAGAGCGGGAGCTCTTACTTGTCATTCTAGTTTATTTCAAAGGTCAGCTCCTCCATGGAAAGATCTCCTAACGTTACAGGAAGAGGCAGATCGGGACAATCAGCTTTTATTACTTTCTGCGAGTTGCAGTGAAAGGGGATGAGAACTGCAATAAGTATAAAATACAGGCACTTTTGGACTGATGTTGAAGGTGTTGCAAAGAAATCATAGAATCATAGAATCATAGAATGGTTTGAGTTGGAAGGGACCTCAAAGATCATCTAGTTCCAACCCCCCTGCCCTGGGCAGGGACACCTCCCACTAGAGAGTTGCAGTGAAAGGGGATGAGAATTGCAATAAGTATAAAATACAGGCACTTTGGACTGATGTTGAAGGTGTTGCAAAGAAATCATAGAATCATAGAATCATAGAATGGTTTGAGTTGGAAGGGACCTCAAAGATCATCTAGTTCCAACCCCCTGCCCTGGGCAGGGACACCTCCCACTAGAGCAGGTTGCTCAAGGCCCCATCCAGCCTGGCCTTGAACCCCTCCAGGGATGGGGCAGCCACAACTTCCCTGGGCAACCTGTTCCAGTGTCTCACCACCCTCATAGTAAAAAATTTCTTCCTGAGATCTAATCTGAATCTTTTTTCTTCCAATTTAAAACCGTTTCCCCTTGTCCTATCATTACACCTCCTGGCAAAGAGTCTTGTCACATGAAACCATCACCATTTTCCCTGTGTCCCCTGCACCTTCCCCCACTGCAAAAGCCACAGGCTGCAAGACAGAGCGTGTCTTAGCGGAGGCACAACGTCCAGAGAAAACACAGGTCTTCAGGTACATGCTGTCTCGACAAGACCTTCTGCAACCTGCCCTTGACTCATCCCACCATGACTCCAGGAGAGCAAGTGAGGGATCGAGCTGCAGGCACTGCCAAATCACTGCCAGTCACTGGATGTCAGTCAGATTTGTGGCTTTTCTCTGTCTGAACAAGCACAGAGCAGCGTAACTCAGACAGAGGACTTTTATTTTCAATATCCCACTTTAGCCTGCAGATCTCTGAAACAAGGGAAACGATCAGAAAGCAAAAATGGTACGAATATGTTCGCCCATTCTCCAAGAAAAATGCTAATTCTTGGCTTTGTTTCTGGTCAGGACCGATCCCGCCAGCAAGGTCTTTGTGCAAAACCAAAATTAACTCTTATTGCCAGTATTACAGCTGCTCACAATATTAGAGGTGGGTAGAAGTAACACCTGACAGCTCTTTCCCTGACAGAATGTGCTCCGTTAACTCGGGCAGTATGGCTGGGTTAGAAGAGACACATTCAAATCTCAAAATAGTTCCAAGTGCAGGACCTGCCTTTGACTCGTCTTTGGTATTAATTATAGACTTTTCGGTTCCTCCCTCCTCTCCCCAACTTTCTGTGCACTTCAGCACGGCTCCGCTGGCTCCATGCTCTGCTGCTTCCAGTGGGAGTTTGAGCAGAAGGTGGGAGTCTATTTCTAACTGACGTAGCTTGTTTTTTCTTTGAAGTACATTCCTGTGGGATGGCTGATTACGAGGTGTTGATGGGTTTCCAACTGCAACACTGTTAATGTTGGGGGATTTAATTAATTCGCTATTCTGTTCCACATTATGGTTGAGTTTTCTTCTCTTGGGGTTGAGACACACCAAGAGTTAAAAAGAAAAACCATCTCGCTGCCACAAGCAGAACATACTGCAAAATCTATAATCAGATCCATGTGGGTTTTAAACGTAAGCTACAAATATAGAAGGAGGACTGTGTGTAATGTGCACAGCAGAGGGATCGGTATGCGGGGCTTTGGGGTTCTATTTCTAAACCTGCCTGCACTTGAAATGTTGCAGGTTAATTTGAGGTATTTCGCGTCAAAATGACTTATGCTTGCAACAGTGAAAATACTGTAAATCACCCAAGTGTTTGGTGTTCACCATGAAATGTTCTGTGAAAAAGACTTTACCGAAACAGGATGATTTGATCCATGGCCATCTCCTTCTCCCCTCTGCCTCGTGATCCACCCTACCTGGGCTGACATGTCTTTTTGCTACCCTGCTCCTCAGGGGCATGGCAACTGGTGGGGGTAGGTAGCTCCAGCCTGTCCTCTGCAGCTCCAACTCAAGGGAAGCTCAAAAGCTTCTGTGCCACGGAGCAGTCAGACCTTGGTGCAGGAAGGTTCCACCAAGGACCTGGATTTGCTGCCTGCTGCTGAGAGAAACCTCTCCAAACTTGTCTTGTGCCTGCACAGACATCTCAGCATCTCTCTTCAGAAATGGAGAAACTCTCCAAGGGGTGAAAGGAGCTCAATCCAGCTGGACTCCAGGAGACCAGCTCACTAAAGTACACCCAGACTTCACCAGTGCCTGTGCTTTGAGCGGAAGGTTGGACCAGACAACCCTCTGTGGTCCCTCCAATGGGCAAGAGCTGGGCAGTCTGCTGCTGTGAATGAGTAGAGGTGCTTCACCCCTCCATCCCAACCTGGGATACCTTCCAACTGAATTGCCCGTTGACATCCCCAAGCTCCAGCTCCACTGCTGGTCACCTCAAGCCCAGAGCACTATTCTGTGGCTGGTGTCCAACTGTCCAAGCCCAAAAGCTCAATTAAACTACTTCAGGAAAAATTCTAGAAGTACTCGCTAATTTAAACCTTTTAGCACTCCTTAGATGGACCTATCAACCTGTTTCTCACGTCACCACCGTGCCTTGCAACAGGCATCAGCCTCCAAAAACCCCACAGCACAAGGTGAGACTGGAAAAGCCAAGAAAAAGCGATAAGAGGAAATGAGAGGAATGGAAATGGTTTCGTTTGAAGTCTTACTGCTGGCCAGAGAGCTTCTGTTGGCCCAGCATGAAGGAGGTGAGTCCACCAAGACCAGCCAAGGAGCAGCAACCAGAATCCTGGGCTGGAAAACAGGATCGTTCATTCTGCAGCTTTTCCACGAGGACGTGGTGCCAGGAGAACAACTCACTGTGCAATAACAAAATCTTGGCATAAGTGCCATAAAACAGTTGCTGCATTTCTCAAAACATGGCTCAGACAAAGCCCGAGAGGAGTTTCAGGCGCGGACGTGTCCCCCTCCGTCAGCGAGCAACATCAGACAGGCCACAGTCTCCAACACCAGGGACCTGCAAGGGCACATTCTGCCTCTGCCGCTGTGCAGAGCACGTCTGTTTTTCTTAGAGAAAAAAAAAAACAACTTTATCTGGAGAAGGAATCATTCAATTGCTCCTGGAGAGCACGTGTCTCTGTTTCAGAGCCTGGCAACCAGACAAACGCGGTTTGATGGAGCCGCTCTTTGCACCTCCAACTTTGATGGGAGTTGATTACAAGTGACTCAGATACTTTTGTGCTGGGTTTTGATATCAGTCTTGTCCCAGGGGGAAATATTCCATCTGGAGTTGGCTTTAGTGTGCTGTCAGCAATTCCTAAACTTATGATGTCACTTGGCACTGCCCTTTGGATGCTCTCAGGCTGACATCACCGAGCCGGGCAGTCAGCTCTGCTCCGCGAAGATTAGACACACCAGCAACAAGTATCAAAAAACAGGCAAGATGTGATTCAGATTTTTAGAGCAGATTGCTATTTTTAGGTGGAAACCAGCACTTCTCTTTAAATTTATCTAAACTCACTATTTACTTTTGGGAAAATAATAATAATAACACAACGCGAAAGGGAATCTTGAGACCGGTATGAACTTGTCCTGCCTGTGACAGGACTAAAACCTGCTGGATTTGGTGGTTGGCTCGTTTGTGCTCATTTTCCCATCTTACCCACCACAAATTTTAATGGGATAAATGGGCTTTGAGATGGCTCCTCAATTTGTGTGCAATTTGCGAATCACAGATCCACATTCCTAGTTATCCCAGTCACTCAGAGAAACTCCCAGGTGCCCCTGTGAGTCCAGCTTTTGGGATCATTGCGGGGAGAGGTATGGGAAGGGGAACAACAGAGATGGAAAAGGCTTCTGCTGAAGACCTCTCGAGGCAATGGGCAGGCTAGGGAGGGCAGAGCTGCCCAGGGCACAAGGGAAGAGGAAAGAGAAGAGCTGGACATTGTCAGGGAGAAGATGCAACACTTGGCTTTCAGAGCAGAGAGCACGGAGAGCAGGACGGTGTGACCTGCAAAGGCAGAGAGCTCTGGGGGGACAGTGTGACCTGCAAAGGCAGAGAGCTCTGGGGATGGGCAGGGTTAAACACCAGATCATCAAACACCTATGGTTTATACCAGGCTTTGCCAGGTTCATCCAGACAACCCAGGACTATCTTAACTCAAGGAGCTTCTCTGCAGAATCTGATGCTGCCCAGGAGGTTAATTTGCTGGGAGACATCTTAGTGGCTTTTGAGCAAGCTCTGAAAGCATCTGGATCACCATCACCACCGCAAGATAGTCCTCAAGACCCAAACACTGGAGAACATTTTGGACAAGCTGTTTCTGGCCTGGTCACCACTCCAAACTGTGAGCTCAGCGGTAGCAAAGCCCTTGTCCTATTACCCACCCTCTGTCATTTCATTTGCCTAATTCCAGACCCAATTTCTTTCCTCTCCCCTGACACCCCAGGGGCACTTTTAAATTGCTTATTTATATGTTGCCCTTATTTCTGCTAATAATGGCCCAATGCCCTTGCTGCTCAGCTACGTCCTGGTGGGTGCAGGAGCTGACTCCATCCCTGATGCCCTTCGAGTGGCCCAGAGCAGCCTGGCCACCCACCTGGTTCCTTGCTGGGACCACTCATCCTTCTGTCTTTGTCCTTTAAAGCTCAGGGGCAACACTTCTGATGGACTCCACTCCTTACAAGGCTGTAATAAGGCTACATTTTCAGAGGTACAGTGTACAAAACAGCTCAAAATACAACCCTGCCTATTTTTTCCCTCTTTGAACCAGAAATGACCTGACTGAAGACCACGCCACACGCCAGCCACCGTCCCTACCCTTGGATCGTGTCATTTTTAAGCAAAACTGACAGAATCAAAATCAGTGCTCCGTTACCCAGACAGGAACATTACCTTGGTGTATTAACTTGACAGGAACATTACCAGTGATGCAAGTAGATTAGTGAGTTGAGTACAAAAGACAGGGGATAATATTTATGAGGTCACCGGAGTTAAAAGCCAACAACCCCAAGTCTGAAATGTCTCAAAAAATAGAGGTGATGGGGTGTTTGGTGTCTGTGGAGAGGAAAGGGTGAATGGCTGCTTTCGTTGTGGTTATGGAAAGCAGGGTTTCTGTATTATACCCATCAATACAAAAATACAGTATTGCACAAAAGAACATTTGTTGAACTACCAGGTGCTAAATAAAGAGGAGTTTTCTGAAAATCAATGGGTAATTTAACAGTCGTGGTGCTATATGTAATGGGGAAGTGGAGACAGAAACAGGGAGATGCTTTGGATGAACACAGCCGGTATCAAGAGAGAAAGAGCAGAATTTTGTGTCCATCCCACTTTATGTGAGATGCTTCAGAGCGATCAGTGCCTGGCTGGCAGAGACACTGCATGCCTGCACGCTCCTGAGAAGTACCAGGAGTGCAGAAACTCAGGATTTCCAACCCCCAAACTTTTCTCTTACACTTAAGCTGAGGCCAAGCTCCACTCTGGCACTGGCAAATCCCTGAAATGCAATGAGAGGAACTCACCCTTCTCTTTTCATCAAAGCAATGCCCGGGATGAGGGACACATGGTGACAGAGAGCCCATAAATACCAACACAAACATGCAAGAAGCAGCTACAGCAGCTACAGAAATCACCTGTCTCTCCCCAAAGGCTGTCAAAGCTGTTGATTTGTGCTCGCTCCACCTCCTCTTCGTCTTTTTCTGGAAGATCGAGCAGGTAGGAGACAATCTAAAAGAAAATGACATGTCAGCTCACGAACTTGGATGCGTTATATATAAACTGCTGACACCTTAACACGAGCTGCTCTGGAAACGCAGAGGGAAAGGAACAGGCTCTGCCTGGCACCCCGAGCTCAAGTAAATACTCTTCCAGGGAGCAATCACTCAACCTGCTGCCCCTTACAAGCCAAAAAACCCACCCAAGTGGCTCGATATGACCACACGTGATGAGCCTTTGTAGTGTCCTAAGGGTGTCTGGTCCTTCTAAGGGTGTCTGTTCTTCTAAGGGTGTCTGTTCTTCTAATGGTGTCTGTTCTTCTAAGGGTGTCTGTCCTTCTAACGATGTCTGTCCTGCTACAGAGGACCCTGTGAGCGCAGCAGATGCACCTTCACCTGCAGCTAGAGCTGCTGAGACCGGGGAGGGGACACCAGTGTGTCCATCTGTATCATCTCCCACCAGGTGGGATGTGATGAGGATGATTGTCCCTTTTACTGCTGGGGAAACTGAGTCATGGACAAGTGATGTAACAGCAGAGTTATAATCATCAGCCTCTCCATCAGCTTAAGCTCCAGCCAAGATGGGAGTTAGTTCCAGAAACCATTAGCTCCTTTCTAGCAAACACTGTTTTTAAGCAGACTGTTAAAAAGACGACTTCCACTATGTTTTAATTCCAGCTGTGGACGCTTGAAACCCCAGAGAAGCAAATTAACTTCTTTAAAGGGTAAATTAAAAGATTTAATTGACTGAAAACTGCCAGAAAATTTCAGCGTTTGGATCCTGTGACGCGAGAAAGCAAGAGGCTAAGAGGAAAATAGAGATTTTACTTTAGTGATTGAAGGACAAAAACGTTTTTCTCATTCCAGGAGGAACAATTATCTGCTGGGGTCCGGGCTACAACCAGCCTTTTTGGAGTACCTGGGAGGCAGCCGTGCCGGCTCCGCTGCCGGTGGGCACAGACCGAGAGAGGCACCAGCACAGGGGAGCGGGGATTTTGGTGGCAAATCCTGTTTTCCCGTGTCCTGCCAGTGATGCTCTGGTGCTCAACGGGACATTTGGAATGACAGCAGCACGGGGGAAGCAGGAACCCCAGGAAAGTGCCTCCATGAAAGATGCTGTTGAAGTTCCTTGGACCTTAGTGGCCCTCAGTGGCCTGGCTAAACCATAAAGCCACATCTGGTATGGTCACACTCGGGTATAATCACAGCAAGGACACCAGTGTGGCTCCACCAGTCATTAAGATGACTTTAGTAACACACTAAATACTTGTTTTATCACCAAAGTCCTAGAAAAAGAGCAAACAGCTTGCATCTCCTATGACTGCAAGCACCTCAAAACAGGGAAGAGCAGTATTTTCTATCAGTGGTCAAGCACCTTTAATGGTACAACAGAAATATTAAACAATTCCAAAACTCCCTTCTATAAGTTATAAAGGTGATCAGTATCATCGGGGGAGGAAATTCCCATATAAAAAGTTCTTTTCCCTGTTACAAATTATGTCCTCTGCGAGCAGATCTTTAGGGTTTTGAAGTCACATCTGCTTCTAATCGGTTCAACTCACAGTCACTTAGCTAATAAGAATTTCCCAGCTTTCTTTAATTAGCTGCTCTGATCCGAGCACGTTACCTATGTTTTCATGGCTTACGCTTAACAAAGGCAAAATCTAAACTCCAGTAAACGAGAGGAGCTCAAGTTAGCAAAGAAATCAACCTATGCAAAAAAAATCCTCAAAGACTCCCTCTCGGTAGGAAAACATCCATCATTTCCCACGTCACAAATCTTTATCTGGGTGACAGGAGGAAGCTCTTTGGCTCTTTTCTCTCCCCCGACACACAGTCCAAAGCTACGTGGTCTCGTGCTCCCCTAAGGGCACTGGAGGAACGTCGGGAGCAACACACTCTTCATCCACCCTTGCTTTATGGTTTATTCCAACAACTTAAAGGCTTGTTACGCTTCCTCTCTTGGACCCTTGCCCAGCCCACAGGGTTTGCCACGGGATCTGTGAACCCCCAGGGATGGGAAGGGGAGGAAGAGTAGGACGGAGGTACCGACTCCACCTCCAAGATCCTCTTTGGTCAATTTTTTGGTTAGAAAACGTAGCCACCCCTTGTTTTCCCACCCCGAGGAGGCAGTGAGGTGCTGGTAGGTCCTACCTCGGTGTACCCCATGCTGGCCGCAGCGATGAGGGCCTGCTGGATGGCGTGGCTCTTCTTAAACACTCCCTGCTGCTGCCCGGCCATGGTCCAGTCGCATTGGATCAAGAACTTCACCACCTCCAAGTGTCCTCTGAGAGCAGCGTGAACCAGAGCGCACTGACCGTTTTTGTCCAAATGATCCACCTTGAGAAGAGATGACAAAATGCAATTAAGCCAAATCACGCGCAAAACGTCTTCGTTTCTCCAGAGTTTCCAACCCTGGTTTCAAAATGATGCCACATGTGCAAAATGTGCATTTTTCTGGTAAACTATCCCTTCTACGACCAGAAAACAACCATTCCCAAAGCAGCTCTGCCCCAGGCTTAGGCATCCTCTTGGCCACAAATGTTTGCTTTGGGTAAGTTACCATAATTTTTAGCTTTCCTTAGTTTCCCTCAGGCTCAAAGGCTGCGAAAGTGTTTTCTCCTTTGTGTCCTGAAGTCTGTGTTTTCTTGGGGATTGAAATCACACACACTGGTATCATCTCCTTCATCCGAACCCACAACAGGAAAACCAGCTGGTTTTGCAGATACCATATCTTCTGAGGGACAGAGACGTGCCCCAGCCCACAATCGAAGGCTCATCAGAACCCAACGTGGGCAGAAGTCAACAGGAACAGGGACCGCGCTCGGCAGCCCCATGGGAACTGATTTGGGAACTTTTGGGGACTGGGCAGGGTTTTTACTCGATGCCTGAACATATCAGCTGGGATTTCTAGGTCCTACCCCAACACCAGTAACTTGGAGAAAATAGGAGAGGCAGATCAGCTGCCGTTCTCCTGCTGGTTAACCCCTTCAGTGCTCCACAACATATTATTTCTCACTTCTCCTATTATAAAGATCTGAAAGAACCATTTATACTAACACATTTCTATTATTAATACATTAATATTTCTTATTTCTCAACTTAGGCAACAATCAACGTTGCCGTTTTCTATGCCCAAATCAAACATCTCAGCCTTCAAACTAAACCCAGCTGGTTTGGGGGTATTTCCTCAATCCAGTTAGGGATGCTCAAGGGAAAGTGGGAGGACCCTTGCATTGCGTTTCATAGCCCAAATATTCCTGTTCTCAGAGAGGGAAACAGGGCTGTTTCTTACCAACAAGTGTCAGGGAGTCACCCAACTCTCTCAAAATATCCCAACAAAAGCAGAATTCTCTTTTTTTTTCCCCTTCATACTGTCCTCACATCATTGCAGACAGCACAGCAAGATCTAAAAGGGTCCCTCAGTCATCCCGACTTTCATTCCAAAACTATACAAACCCACATTTTGCTTTTTGAACTGAAGCTAAACATATAGAGAAACCACAAATTGTTTCCAGGAGGCTCCACTTCAAAAATCAGCATAATTTTCTTCTTCGACAAAATATTTAAACTTGACTCATTATATACAATTAAAACTCCAAACACTCACCACAAAGCTAAACAAAGGGTATTTTTCGAGGACAAGTCTGATAGAAGTTTTTGGAAGATGTGTCTCAAGGAGACATTTAAAGAATGTTCCGTGCTACAAAATCAACGTTGTCCTTTTAACCTCCTGAGGCTCAAGGACTTCTCCAGAACATCCTCCAGCAGGCCACCAGTGCAGAGGGATTAGCTCCTATCCCATACCTGAATTCCAGAATACTAATTACTGACTAATTGCAGGAAGAAAATGTTGACTTTGAGGGTGGTGAGAGCCTGGCCCAGGTTGGCCAGAGAAGCTGTGGTTGCCCCATCCCTGGAGGGGTTCAAGGCCAGGTTGGAGGGGGCTTGGAGCAACCTGGTGTGGTGGGAGGTGTCCTTGCCCAGGGCAGGGGGTGGGACTGGTCTTTAAAGCCCCTTCCAACCCAAACCAGTCTATGATTCAGTGACTCTCAGGAGTTCTTTAGCTTTGGTGTCAACGTAAGATTTTGAAAGGCACTGCATTTTAGCAGCAGCATCCTGGCTTCACCTCCTGGAGGATGTTCTCCAGCGAGAGCGTTTCATGTCCCACCTGCAGCTCCTGCCCTGCCGTGTGACTCTCAGGAGTTCTTTAGCTTTGGTGTCAACGTAAGATTTTGAAAGGCACTGCATTTTAGCAGCAGCATCCTGGCTTCACCTCCTGGAGGATGTTCTCCAGCGAGAGCGTTTCATGTCCCACCTGCAGCTCCTGCCCTGCCGTGTGTAAACGTGGAACAGTTCAAATCAGCTTTTAGAGGAACACGGTCACTGTACCTTGGCCCGTTTCTTGCAGAGCAGCACGACGATACTGAGGAATCCAGCAGCGGCCGCGTAGCCAAGGGGGGTCAGGCCACTTTCCGAAGCGGCATCTACGTTGGCCCCAAACTCCAAGAGCAAAGCCACCATCTCGGTGTAACCCAGGTGGGATTGGACACATAAAATGGGCGCGTTGTTCAGAACTTCCGTCCGATAATTCACGTTTGCACCTCCTAAAATCAGCAGCCGACTGACCTGCGCCGGGAAAGAAGAGCTCCTGAGTCTTATGGAGGGACATCAGCTTATTTTCGGGGCAACAAAAGAAATGAAAGCAGGGGCCTCTGCATGCTTCCCAACAAATAGCCAAGGACATAAAATGCCCAATACAAACAAGTTAGGCAAGGGTCCCATTTTAGATGTTTTCACCCATATGGGAAGGAGCTGGGGCAAACATCCATCTTTGGGCAGGATAAACCCAAGTGAACCCTTTTGCAGAGGGACAAATTCACTATTCACTCGCTGCAATTAAAAGGAGATCCCTGGTCAATGTAGAAGAGTTGAGGGATCGTCCCAGATGGTAACAGAATTATTATGTATTAGGAAATTATTAGATATTAGGAAAAATTTTTACACTGAAAGGGTTATCAAGCCTTGGAACAGGCTTCCCAGGGCGGTGGTGGTGGAGTCACCATCCCTGGAGGTATCTAAAAGCCGGGCAGACGTGGTGCTGAGGGACATGGGTCAGTGGTGGTTTGGGCAGTGCTGGGTTGATGGCTGGACTTGATGATCGGAAAGGTTCCTTCCAACCAAGATGATTCTATGATCCTATGATAAAATCCCAACTGAACTGATGGGCTCTCCCCATCCCAAAACAAATGCCAGGAAGCTGCCCAGGTGAGACCACAGCCACGGGCAGGCAGGTAGAGCAAACACTGTGCATGGGTCCTGCAAACTACTGGGAGCTTCTTGTGTGAGCTCTGAACCACCCCTGCTCTCCCCCTCCTCCTCTTCCTCCTCCTCCTCCTCCTCCTCCTCCAGTACCTTTATGTTTGGGGTGTAGAGGTTTCTCAGAGATGCCAAAGCCATCGAAAGGCCTTCAGTACTGTAGGAGATCCAAAGCCCTTGCAGGATGGAAGAAGAGACCCCAACTTTTTTACTCAGCCCCTAGAAAAGAGAAGATGACTTAGGTGCAAGCTTACAAATACGCTCAGTTACACTGGGATGATCCTCCTGGGTCTTTGGACTTCAAAGGGTTTTAAGACACTAACAGCTGTACACAAGATAATGTGACAATTTGCCACATCTGACCTTCGCAGTGAATTAATAAGATTGTAGGAAATAACTTTTAAAGGTACCGTAGCCATCTCCAAGGTCTAGGAAAGGCAGGATGAAACTGTGAGCAACCTGAATCCATCCAACACCCTCGGAAAATGTCACGCTAAGGAGCACCGCGTGCTGCTTTTTTTTTTTTTTTAATGAAGCACAAATTATTTTGGCAGAACTGATTCACAAAAGAAAATGTCACGCTAAGGAGCACTGCATGCTGCTTTTTTTCTTTTTTAACGAAGCACAAATTATTTTGGCAGAACTGATTCACAAAGTTTCCTTATTATTCACCCGGGTAAACGAGATGACAGGATCAACCTCAGCCTAGACCAGTATTCCCACATCTCATAGCAGATGTCTCCAGCCCTTCTGCCTGCATCCATGACCAGGCTCTACGTATTACAGAGAAGCTCTGACATCTTTTCCCAGCAACACTGACTGGCAGAGCACGGAATTCTTCAGGAAGTTTCCCCTCTCCTGTGAAAGGGGCAATAATTGCTCTGGAGCCAACAGATGGGAGCAAAGGGCTGGATGGGAGAGGTGAGGGATGGGTTTGTAACCCCAGCCCCGAGCTCTTCCCTCCGCCGTGGGACGTGGGTACGCCCCACACCTCCCCGTGCTGCTGTCGATTCACCAGTAAAGTCTGCTGTTTCCACGGAAACGGTGCAGACGTCTTGAATTCTGTTTTGATATGCAAACCCTGATTTCTGCTCCCCTGCACGCCGCGTGGCCACTGCCATCCGTGCAAAGCAGCAGCGTCGCAGTTGGGTTTGTAAAGTCTCTCCTATCACAGACCGACACGGAGGGTGCAGGGCGATGGGAAGAAAAGCAGCAGAAATGTCCAATTCTGGACATTAGGAAACAATTATTCACAGAGAGAGTGGTCGGGCATTGGAATAGGCTGTCCAGGGAGGGGGTTGAGTCACCATCCCTGGCTGTGTTTAAAACCCCTTTAGATGTGGTGTTGGGGGATATGGTGTAGGGGAGAACTTTAGAGTAGGGTGGATGGTTGGACTCGATGATCCCGAGGGTCTCTTCCAAACCTAGATGATTCTGTGATTCTGTGAAAAGGTGGGATTTGTTTCCCTCTCCAGGCAGATGTGCAAGAATCATCACCCGAGCCCGTGGCTGGACTCAGTCACAGACCTCTAATACCCACGTGTGAAAGATCTTCTGAAGCATCGCACCAGCCATCAACAGATTTGTCACTCCAAATGGTTTTACCATAAAAAGCAGGAACAGATTAGACAAGCTCTTATAAATAACAACTCCGGGTGCTCGTTGCCTCCAATATTCAGGGAGTTAAAGAGAGAAAAATATCTGCTTGTGTTAAGAGGCAGAAAGAGCTCAGGAATTTGAGCCACCATTAAAGGCTGCTTTTGAAATGACACAATACAGGACATTAGAGGTCAATATTAAATTTCAGTGAACTCAGTACAGTATAATTGGACAAATGGAAAACAATTTTATAATAAATGGTTAAAATAATTTAAAAGTAGTTATAATACTCTCAAACCCATAAATAAGCTGTTTGAGTTACCATCAGGACCGAGGGAAAGAGTATGTATTTTCCAAATAGCCATCTGAAGATAATCACACACGCTATAAAAATCTTAACTGCTGTATTAGAATGAATATACTTAGATATTAATGCAAGACATAAAAGATGACATTTATCCTTTAAAGAATAAATACATTCAACACAATTATCATTCAGTTGCTGAAACAAAATTGCACTATTTTGCATTTTACTGATCGCATCTTCCTTTTCTATTTCCCTTTTCTGCCCAGAATTTAAAGCAGGTTGAATCCTTCAGCAAAAGCAAATCCCAACCTGACTCCCCATCAAACCCAAACACTGTCACTGGTTTCCACTCCACTGGGACCATCCCACCCAGGACCAAGGCACGGCTTGATGGTGCACATTTCATTGGAATAACTTTGCCAACCCCACACAACCCCAGTTTTCAGACGGGCTCGCTTTTTTGCACTCCTGTATGAGCTGCCAGAATCCTTAATTTCTAATTTATCGCTTCCTCTGCTATTTGGCCGTTGGCTCCTTCAACACCAAGGTCTTTATGAGGTTGTTTTTCAAGCAGTATCAGACACTTTTACACACCCATAGTTGTCAAAGTGAGTGTTTCTGCCTGTAATTGTCATTACATTCTCAGTCTGGGGATGAGGGACACCCAGTTCTGGATTACTGACATTTTAGCTAACTAATTTAAGATGAAATTAAAGACTTCTCTTTGGTTGATTTGCAAAACATACGTCAGCCTGAAGTTTGGGTCTTCTTGTATCATTATTGCACATTTCTCTTCTTGCCCTTTCATTCCATGCCAGGCTTTCCAAGCTGGGTTTCCATATGCTCCTGTTAAGACTGGTAATTGCTTTAAAAGACTAAAACATTTGTACTTTTTTTTTTCCCCCACCCAACTGTTTGAGGATGTTTGTGTGTTTAAAAAAAGAAACCCAGCAGATCTCAGCCATCAGGAGAAGAGGGGAGCGCGAAAGCTTCTCGCCACCCGTGTGCCAGGTCATCCCCTTGTGACTGTGTGACTGTGCCATCACTGACTCTTGGTACACCTGGAAATTCCATGTGTCCCATCATGACCTTGCAGAAAGTACCAGTGGATTCAAACTGGTAAGGATTGGGGAAGGACAAATCTGTTCCCTGCACTGTTTAATCACAATTTGTCTCTATACCCATCTCCCGTTACTCCCTGGCTGGACAAAATGCTTTAGCCCTGTTCTAATCCTCCCCTGGCTTCATGATGGGTAGATAAAATGGAATTACAATGGCATCAGGCCTCCACAAATACCTTCAAAATTAGGATCTTTGTGTCTGTGGAAAGCTGCTGCTATAACATGATACTTCAGGAGAAAAACATCGAATTGATGACCTGACACGCTCCCTGCTTGGCAGAAACCCCGTGCCATACTGGTAAGGGCTCCAGTAAAAGATCAGATGGAATGAAAAGCTTGAATGGGACAAAAAAATGCTTGTTTAGAAACAAATACAGCGCTCAAGACCTTAAACATGGTCTCCAACAGTCCAGCCCAATGTCCTTCAAAACCTAAAGCAGCGATTGTTTCACTCCGTAAACACCCACAAATCCTCAGCAAACACTTGTTAAAAAAAAAAAGGAATAAAAATATTCAAGGCAAAGCAAAAGACCAAGTTTCTAATCCAGTTGATCCGAACCCTCTCAAAACTTTACAGTTTATCTAAATAACATACTGTTATGCTTATCTGTCGCCGAGATGTACTATTCTTCCTGCAGTGTTGCAAAACCCCGGATTTTGCCGAGTGATCGGAACCAGACGGCTGTACTGACATTTTTCATATGCTAATTGGCATTTTCTACTATTGTAAATATTGCTCAATTAAATCTGGAATCTACAGGCAACTTGTCCACTTAATGAAAATTGTCATTTGTTTAGAGCCTGAAACCCTGTTATTTGTTTCTGCCGTGAAAAGTGTGAAACGAAGAAGATTTGGAAGCAGATTTTGATGTAAATGGCAGCTGAACAGTGAACTCCCTGCTGAATTTGGCCTTGGGAATGTAACTCAAAATTTGAAAATTATACACTAATTGGGTAATGGGTTGATCTGGGGCTCTTCCCTTGGGCTCCAGCCATTGCCTTCCCAAACGAGGAGACTTTGCTACTACACCTGATGGTGAATTCGGCTCAGGGAACTCCATAAATCAATCCAACAGGACTGACACAAGACCCAAATTATCTGTTTGCTCTAAAAATACAGAAATAAGGGGTGCTAAAGGTCTGAATTCCATAAAATCACATACAGAGCAGATAAAAATATAACCTCATTTTTACCAGTGTTAAACACCCACGGATCATAATACTTTTAATAAATTCTGTATTTCCTGTGACCTTACAAATCCATCCTCTCATTTCCACCTTCTGGTATAGGGGCCAACAGGCAAAAGAATGATACTGAATTTATGGTTATGTTGAAGCTCCCATCCAAGTTTGCCTTTCAATCACCCAGCTCTTAAATGTCTGTGTGAAGAGTCAAACCAGCCCCCCATCAGATTTGAAGAACTATCCGATCTTCCCTTTACAACCTGAATTTTGGGTTGGATTCTACAAAACCAGTCCTTTGAAATGATTTGGCTTTTTTTCTAGACGCCGTTACAAGGAACTCATCTTACATGGGATGAAACCTCTTGCGGCAGAAGAGTGCTTTTAGGTAAGGAGGCTATCTGCTGAATTTACACTCTGAAGGACGCTTTAATTTCAAGGATTTCTTATACACCACTGCCAATTTTCTACAGCTCACTTCTACACGTTTCAGCAGCCTGCAGCAATCACACTTCTTACAGCAGCCCTAAAACAAGAAGAGGCCCAACGCTGCCAGCGCTGCCAGATGATACACGGCGGGGATGAGGTTGGCACAAGCCTTCACTTCAATTTTTGTTACCTTAAAAATATGTGCTTTGAGAATGTGATGTCCCAGTTCAATAGTTTGCTGTCGATTTAGTTTTCCTTCTTGACGGGAAAACCAGAAGGCAAGTAATGTGTGGCCACTCCTAAAATCAGAAAAAAAGAGTTATGTCAGTATTTGCTTCTTACACCAACACATGGACTTGTGACAACAATTTTGGCTCCTGTTGAGCCTTCAGCCTCGTCCAGGTTTGGGAAACAGAGCTGGATTAATTCTTGCTTGTAAACCACCAACTAATTGCATTCTTTATTACTGGTGATCACTGATAGCTCAAAAAAACCCCCTAACATTGGAGGACAGCAAAAATAAAACAATATATTTTCTATGAGCAGATGTGAATTTGGACACCCCTGAGGTACAACGTCATGAAAGCTGAAGTCTGATCACTGATAGCTCAAAAAAACCCCTAACATTGGAGGATAGCAAAAACAAAACAATATATTTTCTATGAGCAGATGTGAATTTGGACACCCCTGAGGTACAACGTCATGAAAGCTGAAGTGCTACTTTTACAGTCCTGTTGCAGAGGAGAACTGTACTTTGAAAGTGGGCCCCTCTCCTGAATTCATTAGAAAACAACATATTTTAAATATCCACACTTGGAAAAGAATGTCCTTTAAATGACAATTACATTCTCCACACCGTGACACATCCTGCAGAAGGAAGTAATTTTATTTCCATGTAAAACTCCTTCTAAACACATTCCCCAGCTTTTCCAGGAATAAAGATGCTTCTGGCAATGACCTACCAGGTTGACAACGAAAGCAAATTAAGTGAGCAACACGCAGAGCCTCGTTTAGGGCAGAACATAATAAAAGAGACAATAACTTCCTTTGCTAACGGTGATTTTTACTGACATTTTTAAGCACAAGGACTTCGAGCTTATGAGACCAAAAGTTCCAATGGGGGTCAGTCTTCTCAAAGATCTGAAAAACTAATTCTCTGTACCTGCCCAAAACACACACGATGCAAAAATGTGAAGTGTTCACATCATTTCTGGACGAGCTGGGCAAATACCTGCTCCTGCAGGGATGTGAGGCTGTAACAGAAGGAGATGGAGAGGAAGAGGCCACCGAGGCTCCAAGCTTGGACCTCAGTGATCTGGGGACTTGCAGTTTTCTTGGTTTTGCCAACAAATTCATATTCTTCTGTAAGCCCTTGGGTACTCCCAAGGGAGTCCTTTTTAACCCACTTCATTTCGGGAACTAAATAAAACCGTGACTACACATAAAAGCAATCAAAGCCCTTCCAGCCAAAGAAAACAAAACATGATATCAACTGCGGTTAGGAGGGCTTTTAAGGACACGGAACATTAGCTCATCACTGCTGGGGAAAGCAAAGAAGCACTTAGGGTGGCCAAACATCAAGTAAATATTAGAGAAGACAGAAGTTTTCACAATGGTGGGAATTCACCAGCGCATCCCCATCCAGGGAGAACGATTCCCCCCGTCTCAAAATAAACTCAGAATAAAAGGGAAGGACTTGTGCTGCCACAGGCAGGTGTTTGGCAAGGTCTCCCCCAAGCCCTGCCAATGAACCTCCTTTTGGACCGATAATAGACGGATTCATTTGAGCGGAGCCCGATGATGTTCTGCCAGACCTCGTGGCACTGGTAGGATGTGGACAAGTGCCCACCAGAGGAGCAGGATGAAAAACAAAATGCCTTTTTTCACACAAGCAGGACTGGATCCCCAGGTCTTGACAGGTGAGAGAGCACCGCATCCCATTTACATGTAATAAAATAAACCTCTTCACTGGTGAGTAATTCTATTGTGCTTCTCTCCAAAATCCCATTATATTCATAGAGGCACCATCAACTCAAATAATGACCTGTTGTCTGAGATGTTTTTGTTGACTGATGGTACCCTTCACTCTCTGGGTGACTTGAGCTTGAAAAGAAACTGAAGAAAACCTCTTTTTTGCACACTTTGCCTCCCTCTCCACACCCTGCCCTGGCACATGGCGAGGTGCCAGTGCTGGGATCCCACAGCTCCACTCGTCCTGTCACTGGAGAAGGAGAAGCTCCTCCAGATGGTGACTCAGCTCATCCAAGATGTAGCTCAGATGCCTCAGCTGAGCGGTTCAAATTCAGCAGGATGCCTTGTGCACAGGGCAGTGCCACCCATTTCCACACACCCGTGCTGTGAGAATTCTCCACGTAGCACCAACAGAAGGGACAACATGTAAAAAGCTGGGAAAACAGAAGGGCCTTGGAAATGGTTGTAGCACCTTCAGTTATCTCCAGCTTGTTGCCTTTCCTTCCTTTTGCTCTTCTCCTCTTTGTCCCCCCATCTTTGGAGTGGGAGGAGAACATCAGGACACATCAAACAGACAAATGCATTTGCTCATTACGCTGATTAACCTCCAGGAATGCCCGTGGAAAGGAGAAACACACCAGGAGGAATCCAGTGACTACGAAACACAGCTTGAGCATTGCTGGATACAGCTGCAAGTCAAGGAGCACAGCAATTGCTGGATTTTATCCGTCCCCGTTCAGCCCCATTATGAAAACCTATGATCACTCTAACACACTCAACGCGTCTCAATAGCTCATCTGCTCCCCAACGTGGGGCTCAGGGTCTGGAGAAGACCCAATGTGTTTACCCCAACTCAAAGGCGGGTGGTGCAAGTTCATTCTGAGCCATTGGCTCCTTTCCTTCCTGGGGGGTCATCACCCTGGGACCACCAATGGTGGCTTTCTGCTCAGACCCCAGCGCCGCCACACAAGGGGACCGTGCAGGCACCCCGCTCTGCTGCTATTTTTCACATCACAGAAGAGGAAATAATACCAGTTGTTTCCTGGTTGATGGGAAACTCTTTGAAAACGTTTGGGAAGGCGAGGAACGGAGCTGTGACTCCATTCATCCAAGCAAGAGTTGAAGATCCAGAAACTTCTACTGTGCCTCTTCTTCGCGGTGAGAGATGAAGCGAGGCTCCCGACTGACACGTGAGCCCAGGTCCCACAGTTGGCTCCTAAATTGCTTTTCAGCTGCAGCTGGTTGGGTATTTACCTAAATTTAATTATATGCCTGACTCTGGCTGTTATGAATAAGGCATGTACGAACCATTCCGGAATAAAGTACAGTATTCATGAGTAATACATTACCTCTGCAACGCTTCCCAGACCTTGGCTTTGGGCTTGTTGATAAATACTTGCAGTCACTTGTTCTGTCAACGTTAATTGCATGCTAAACCAGACTCCAACAGCACAGGCTTTTTTTTTTTTTTTTTTTTTCTTTTTTTTTTTTTCCTTTTAATACAGCAGAGGATGGCAGTAATGATTTCTACATCAAGGAGCTCAGCGAAATGATTTGCTTTGAATTTCACCACCGCAGAGTTCATCGTCAGAGGATTTTTTTTTTTTTTTTCTATTTTTAATGTAAGATTTTCTTTCTGTGAAAAATTAATAGCGCTGCCAGCTCAGCTCCGGCAGCCTTTGTCTGCTCTCCCAGGCTCCTGCAGAGGCCAGGGGTGCCAGTGTAGATGTGCACTACGTGTATATATAAAGACATAAAGATGAGTCTTCATCCTTGCAAGCCCCTGCATGGCAAGAACCGGGGCACGGTAAGGAAGGGCAACGCAAGAGAAGGCTATATAGGGGCACAAGGGGAGATGCTGGCTTTGGCAGAGCAGTCCCTACACATCTGCTCCCTTATTCACCCAAAACTGAGGCACATATAGCTCTGGGGGGAGAGCAAGGTGACGCAGGGAGCTGGTACCTCAAGCACATCCCTCATCGTGCCCCCATCCCTCGTGGAAGGGGACGAGGTGACACTAATGAAGTCCCAGCGTGAGCGGAGAGCTGTGATGGAGCGTGGGGTAACACAAAGGAAAATACCAAAAGCTCCCAAATCTGGGCATCATCTGTCCTCCTCTATCCCTCAGGCAAAGTAAAAGAGATTTTAAAGGGTGTAAAATTGCTCTAGTGTTAAGGCATTGCACTGCTGGAGTAAAAGACAAGCAAAAAAAATAAGTAAGAATCAGTCCCGTTTACTTCTGAATCTACCCAAGTCCAAATTCCCCGATTTCCACCCACATCTCCCTTCTTCCAGCTACTCCTGCGAAACCTTTCCAAAATCCAGAGATTTGACACTGTGCCCAGCGAATCTGGTCTTCCAAGAGAGGCACACTCATATTTTATTCAGCGCTGCAGAGTGCAATGTTATAACTCGGGCAGGGAGAATAATGTCTGCTCTGCCAAAGCCCGGAGCCTCCTTCCCTCTCGGAAGGACGTCTGTCCAGGCTGTGGAGAGGCCAAGCTCTGCTCACAGAGCTCCTCTTGAAGGATCCTTAAATCACCAACATTGATTTATGGATTTTTGTAATGTACTTTCCCTCTGATGTTATAATTGCGAGTTAACTTGGAAGGAATTAACATTATACAAGAAAATTCAAACAAAACAGGGAATGCTCTTAAGCACGCCATGTTCTCTCCTGCAGAATTAAACACTGGTTTAATTTGCTAAGCTAACTGGGACAGCCCAGTTCACAGCCAAGAGAAATCTCTCCATCCCTCGGGTCAGATCCCATTGCAGAGACACAGGTTATGGAGTATCTGATCAAATAACAATCAATCACCTTGCTTAGAAGGAACCGAGGACGTGGCAGAGATGTGCTACTGATTTTAGGGGCGTTAGGAAACTGCAGAGACACCTCCCCACCAGTGGGACAGGAGACCCACGCCAGCTCTCTTGTTCACACTGACCCACCCGTCCCATCATCACCGCTGTCACTACACAGAGGAACTGGGTAATGAACCATAAACTCAACCATAAACTAGAAATCGATCATAGAATCATTCAGGTTGGAAGAGACCCTCAACCATAAATTAGAAATCACAAAATCATAGAATCATTCAGGTTGGAAGAGACCCTTGGGATCACTGAGTCCAACCATCGACCCTACTCTACAAAGTTCTCCCCTACACCATATCCCCCAACACTGCATCTAAACGACTCTTCAACACATCCAGGGATGGTGACTCAACCTCCTCCCTGGGCAGCCTATTCCAGTCTCTGACCACTCTTTCTGTGAAAAAGTCTTTCCTAATGTTCAATCTAAACCTCCCCTGTTGGAGCTTGAAGC